ATGAATTAGGCATCTCGAGTCTAAGCGGATGGATAAGAAATGTTCAGAACGCTAATGTTTGACAACAAGGACCTCGTGCAAGGTTGCATAACATGGACACTGTAGCTACAGGATACTGCTTGTAAATCTTTGTGATCTGTCGTCGCGGGAGGACAGCTGGCCTGGAACAGTAAATGGAAAGTGTTTTTGTCCCAGCTGTGGTGGTGACTTGCTTTTTTGCACCGGGTCTCCCGTGAAAATTAGATGCTCTCTGGGGGGTCTTACCTGCTCATAAGTAAAGGTCATCCGTTGCCTCGGCTTTGTGTTGACATCCATTTTGCTTCTGGGACAAACACAACTTCGAATTGCCACGTGAGGCTAGCTTTTCCTCGATTGCTTTGGTAAGTCATGTTTTCTTACAATTGGTTAAGTATTTAGAATATGCGCAACAATAACAAATGACAACACCTAAACTTCTCGGTGCTTATTTAGGGTCAAATTTAAACTTGCTGCGGTGGGTTTTAACTTCCAGGCATGCTGCCTTCTATGTTCAGTGCTCTATCAGACTCTGTTTCTTTATTCCATTGGCGTTTTCGGCTTTGTTTTATAATCAAATGAATGGGTGAACTGGCATTGACACTGCGTGCTTCCCATCACCTAACAATACGTCTCGGAGTACAGGTGCCCCTATTGGCAGCGGTCCCGACTGGCATTAATCTGCCAGTAGGGGGGGGGGGTGACAACAGCGATGTGTGTAAGTTATGGGTACACTTTAAATGTTTTACAAATTTTAACTGAGCTTGACATTGTAATTTTTTTTGTCGGGGAAAACCGGGAGAAACAGGAAGAAAGCCATGCAGAATTCGGGGAGAACATAAAACTCCACTCAGAAAGGTGCCTGAATTGGGAACCTAACCCAGGTACTTATTCCTATGAGGCGTAAATGTTACCACTGCATAACATTACATAACGATTACGAACTTGATTTGTATAGTTCAGATACCACCAACTAATTATGGCAGATCAACTGTAATCATGTTTGGATGCATCGACTTTGCCCGTGGTTGGTTTGAACCAGTGGACTATTTATATTCTTGGTTCTTTCGGTAAAAATAATAAACATATAAAACAATATTTGTATTATTTTATTGTTTCCCTTCTACGTGACTTTTCCGAAAGAACCAAGAATATGAATCCCTGCAGTCACGAAAGCTTTAAATCAACATTTAAGTGGACTATTTGTTTATTGAACCTATAGGGCGGGGGAAGGGGGGCTGTACTTGCCGCACGCAGCCAATGCATGGATTAGCGAGGTGCTATTGCTGGGGTATTTCTTTTTTATGTTGCTGGGGGTTACACACCAAAGCTCGTTAGTGGCCAGTCACTCGCTGCCCCTGCTGAGTAATTGCGTGGCAGGTAATGTAAACATTTGCCACAGCCCTTCGACCACTGTGATTGCTTTTGTTTGTGTAAACACTTTCATGTGGCTCTGTTTTTGTTTGCTGTCCATCGCTCTCTCTCGGTCTCGTGTCATCAATGCACAGATACTTTGACTGCAATTGAACCAGCTAATTTTTGGCTTTTAAATTAAATTACAAAAATAATTTCTGGCAAATAACACAACTCTATTTTGAATAATTCGACAAACATCCTCCAAACATCATTGCTGCATAACTAGTCCTGCTTATTAAACTCTGCCTTGCTATTTCTGAAGCGCTAACAGAGTGCATAATTAACAAGATTAATTCTGCTCGTTTTCAGGTCCTTCGTGTTCTCCCGAGTAACATGAAAATATGCTCTCGGTGGCCTTCGGTGCCATCGTTCAGGGCGAGCCTGACCCAGCCATGATCTCTCCTGCTCTTCCTCCTGACCCTGCGCTGGCATCCGACCCTTTCCCTGGCACCGTCCGCAAGCCCGGCCGCGTCAACACAAAGCGGCTGTCGTGGGCGAGAGGGAGCGCATCGTGGCGCGATGGGTCGTCGCGCGAGCACAGCTACGATGGCGATGTGTCGGCGGAGACTTCGCCGGCTCAAAATGGTAACAACAACAAAAAGCCTCTTGCGAGTTTACGCTCTAAATAAAGCGCACCACGTGATTACACAGCGAGAAGGTGCGCGTGTTTGAATACGCTTGGCGCTTCGAAACATCTACTGTTGGTGGTTGATGTGGCAATGCTTTAGGGAAGGAATGCAATGTTGACCCGTGCACCATGGCCCTGCAGTGTGCAGTGGTGTTTTGCACAGCTCTTTGGGCGCACAACTGATACAGATGAATTCCCGATGACCAAAAATGTCCATCTCTGATGCACGGAGTTTATGGTTGCACGGCAGACAAAAAACTGTTGGCCATGCTTTCAACATGTACACACTGATTGCTTCTCAAGTACTCTGCCCAAGGACGGGTCCATGGCTCAAGTTCCCTCCTACCGATCAAATCCCACTAAGACTATTCACCTTGAGGACCAACCACACTCTGCATGAGGATTCTCGAGTCGTGCTAGAGAGAGATTGTGGAGGTGTGATATGATCACCGGATGCGCCATAACATCAAACCCAGAGCCTACAGGCACCTAGGCACTCTTTGCTTGTCGATCAAACTCTGTGGTGTTCATTTTCCTTGACCGGTAACACCCTCGTGTGCATCTGAGTTTTATGCAAAAATATATTTTTTCGACACTTCATTGCATTTATTTTTTCTTGTGGTTCAGTCCATGACGGTAGATTTGTTGTTTTATCAGGTTCTGATAAAACCCTAAGTGACATTGAATATCATCCACAGCCAAGAGTAGGGGTTAATTGAAAGGCATAGAAAGATAATATACACATAGATGATTGCATTCCTTGGTAGATTCCTCCTGCATGGATTTTACATTGGATTTTGCGCCTGGCGTTGTGGACCGAGCCACGAGTCGCGTGTGAGTGTCACATTGCTGCGGGCCTGCTGTGTGTATGCACTGCCTTGCGCTGCCAGTGGTTATCATCAGCGAAGCTATTGAGCCCTCATGCTCTGAGCGCTGCAACCCGTGGTGGAATTTGTGCTGCAGAATTCACACACTCGCATCGCCCACTCCCAGTGCATGCGAGTCGGTGAGCTGTGCTCCCACTCAATGCACTCATGAGGCCTTAGTGATATACAGCTTCTGCTGATGGCTCCACGAGAGGCTGTCTCTGATATGGCATAAATGACCGTGTGTTTATTAACCGTGAGATACTGTTAATTCCAACGTGTTTACATAGGGTGGTTTGTGGTTGTTAACGACCAGTGCGCCAGCGTTCTAATCATGGCGTTTAAAAAGCCAAGAATTATGCCGTCCATAATTAACTTTTCATTTGTGCCCGATCAGGTTGTGTGCTGTGGAAAATCGGCCAATATTTGTGCACATTGAGCACTTATAAACTGAGTGGTTTGTTGTAGACGTTACCTCCCCTGTCGGCTCATAGTGGCGTACTAAACAAAACGGGTTGCTTGTATGCGGGGCGGTGCATTTGGTCGTCTAAGCCATTTTTAAATGCTTTAAAGGATTTTCTTCGATGGCTCATGCAGTGCAATACAGCGATCGCATAGGTGCTGCTTCACGTGACTACAAACATGTTTGGTCTGTGTTGCAGGAGGCTACAGCATTCACACGAGTGTGCACGAGTGGCTGGATGACAGTGCGTAAGTCGTGTATTTTGAAGATACACATTACACTTGCATTACAACACCGATCCTGCCTCTTGCCAGGACATTGCGTCAGGGGTCAGGAGAGAGTTTGAGGAATTGGTGCATGAGGCAGTTTCATCCCAGCACTGATAGTCCATTGGCTCTGGGCTCGTGGAACTACGGTGTTAGCCATGGCTGCGAAATGAGCTCGGGTTGCCGGGTTCCTAGCAGCAGTGCTGCACCGCAATGTAAACTTACACTGCTCTATAAAAATGAGTCGTGATGTGTTTAATGAGAGGCCAAACCCTGGATATCCCTTCCTCTATTCAAGGAATTGTGATGACAGCAGCGCAGCAGAGACGAGTAACTTGTGCAACAGAGGTGAGCGATATTTCTGTGTTTCTGCTTCATTGTGTTTTATGTTGTGCCAGTTACAATACAGGACATTGATTCAAACTGAATTCACTCAGTTTTTTGCTTTTCGTGTACAAGTGTCAAATCGTGTTTTTATTCCCCCCCCCCCCCGCCCAATTGAAATGTTTTGTTGCTGGAGTTGATTTGCTTTATTCAACATTGTTTTCAGGATCAATAGGATCAGAAGATGACCTTTCACTTGGGGCTGAAGGTAGGCCTTGGATCTCCATCTCATTAATGAGCTTATATAACTTTGAAATGTTTCACATCCATATTTGCTTCCTGTGCAGTTAGCACTTGTATTTTTGAGTGCAGCAAATATCAAAATAGCTTTCATAATCTCTTAAGTTCAACCGGTTTACTGGAATGTGGTTTGTAGATTTGCCTTTAAGCCTGAGCACGGAGAGGATACTGAGAGCCATCGGGTTATGAGCATAATTTGTTCCTGAGACCCGTTTTTAAGTTCAACGGTTCGTAAGTCTGAACACAATAATACACTGTATTTAAATTACCATGTGGTCAGTGTTATGAAATTGCATGTAACACTATACAAAATACTGCAGAGTAAATAAAACATGAAATAAAGTAACATACATAGAAAAACCTGATTTCTTTTCACTTACCTTGAGTCCTGATGCTAACTTGTCGTCGGAAGGGGGGCAAGGAGTCGCCACAATTGCGCGTACACACAAAAGACAAAGATCCCCCGTATAGCCTTAATAGACTGTAGGGGCAAGTGCTGTTGGCGGGCACCTATAAAGGCCGGCATGGCACACGAGGGGGTGGGTGACCAACACCACGCCCGGCCGCCTTTGTCTCCCTAGTGGCGGTGTCTACACATCGCACCAGGTACTCATTTGAGGCCTAGTCGACCTAGGGGAGGCTCAGGACGGGTTCAGATAATCGTCACTGGTGTTGGCCGTGAGTGGGAATCGAACTCGGGTTGCCAGGTTCAGTAGAGCAGCACGCTAACCGCTACACTACCGCTCCCCACACAAAGACAGGCACATACACAAAGACAGATACACACACACCATAACTACAAGGATCCCCCATATACCCTTAACAAGCTGGTGGGGCAAGGGCTGTTAGCGAGCAGTGTATATGAAGGCCGGCATGGCACACGAGGGGGTGATTGGCCAGCGCCTTTGTCTGCCCAGTGGCGATGTTTACACACCACACCAGGTCCTGGTGTTGGAAGTTCCTGGTGTTAGAAGTTCGAGGACTGTCTATACTCATAATGACTTTTTCTTTATCCAGTTTACTGCCTGCAGTAAAATAGCTGTAACCATTTGGGTAGTGCCGCGAGAAATGGTTAAACTTTGGACCCTGGAGATTAAAATCTTCCAATCACTCGAGGTTACTTTAAGGGGCTCAAATATGTGCATGCTAAAGGGGTTTGCTGTATCCTGCGCACCACAGCAATGCTTTAGTGAAAAGATAATTACGTCAAATTGTTCACCGGTGGCATGGGTCCTGGTAGTGCAAGGAATACCCCCGCTGCATCGCAGACCTCGGTGATATTTCTGGGTCACGGCTCGGTGTCACAATGTCAGGCATTCCCAGCGTGACAGGCTCACAGTCCTGCAAACTTCTCTACCGGCTTGTCTGACGACTGACCAGCGTGCACCCCAACTTATAACATTTATTGATAACCTTTATCGGCACTTCCGGCAACGTTGATCCTGAACCCTCGTTCACATGAGCTGCCCACTGGTGTTTAGCAGAATTATGATCGCAGAACTCGAGGAGCCGCTGGCTGCTGGGAGCTGCCGCAGGTGTTGGCGTTGCCTCAGGACTCGCCGGTGGTTATTGACTGGCATTGGCCGGATGGGAATAAACACAGCCGTGTGCCACAGTTCATTCATAACGATTCGAACGCAGCCGACATGCCATTACGGCAAAATTAAGTAAGATTAACTGCGCCTTAACTGTTGCTGCAGTTTCTGGGAATTGGTATCTTCTTGAACAGCACCGCCACTCATTAGGCCACCCGCTAGACTGCGTTGCTGCTTCTGTAGAGCGAATTTGAGCCTCTCTTGGCTCGCTTTTGGAGATTTGGTAATGCATGGTAAGTGACATCTGCTCAGGAAGTTTACAATTTAGTCGTGTTTAGCATCCAGCAGAGACCCCCCATGCTGCTCAAAAAACAAACATGATCATGTGATTGGAGGTCACCTCCAATTCACGTACAGCCACTTTTTAAATCCATTACTGGATGAAGGGCTCCCCACACAGTGTCGGTTCGTGGTGGTTGTTTGACTGCACTTAACCTGCACTAATTATTTGGTGATGCTGCGTTGGCAGTGGTGCACAAGCACAATTAACAAATAACTTAAGTCCCTCGTCAAAAACACTGCCTTAAATGAAAACATAAAGACATATAATCGGCAACGTTTTGGGAAATGGCCCTTCATCAAAGCACATAAACAGAGGCCAGAGAGATAGAGTGGATGATAAGAGTTGAGACTGCACTTAACACCATGGAGGCTGATGGGAATTTGATTGAAATTTTTTTTGTATCAAATAAACCCTTCAATAATCAAAATAATTATTAAACAAGTGCATTTACATTTTTAAAAAACTCATGTTGCTGGCACAATGCATTGTGGGAAGGTTTATTCTTGTGAGGACAAACAAGGCTCAACCCCCCTGCAAGTGCATTCCTGGTAACCAGTCACTGTTTCAATAAATGCATGGTTAACGACTGCTGGTCAGTGCAAGGCTGGTATAGAATAGAAGTGCCAAGGATTGGTTGAAATATCAGACACCACTGATATTAGCCGTGGCTGCTGGGTTCATAGCACGGTGTGCAAACCACTGCGCCACTGCTCGGCTCATCACTTCCGACTAGTTTTTACTATTTAACAATTACTTTAGTACTGCTCTAGCTTTGCAGGGAAAAGGAAAACCGATAATTTCTTAACGTGATAAGGATTCATTATTTTCGCGTCTATCAAGCCATTATAGACAGACCAGTGATGATGGCCATTCGTGGGCACAGGCCCTCGTACGGTCTGTAACTGAGCTCATATCGTCAATGTGGTATTGATTGCAGTAATAATAAACTAGAAATGCACTGCCGAATATCGTGAAGCGGAGCAAAGACTGTGGTATACAAACAATCGTCTTTCCGTGATGTGATCTGTTGTTGACAAATTACTGAATTTGACGAACGGTCCTGGTGCCTGGTGGCAGCTAATGTCATCGCGCTGGTGAAAATCTGTCACTTGTCCGCTTGTCTCAACATCTGTCCACATGGATCATGATTCCCTCTTTGCGAAATAAAAAAACAAGTCACTTTCATTATTTGTTTCCATTCCGCAAACGCTTTATTTGATTTGTTACATGAATACAGGATTAATGTTTTATGGTGACAAATCACTGCAATGATTGATATCCTGCTGTTATTTAAGGAAAAACATCGAAGCCAGTTTTCAAAACTAAAGAACTTCGTAGCACGTTGCATAAATCACAATTTGTTATTACGCCACTCGCAATTCTAAAAATAAAACCTTTTAATGAATGTCCTTATTGTGCGGAAAGCATTAGTTAACCTTGTTTACGCAGAAAGGCACTAGGAGTATTGTTCAACTGAATGAAAAGGGCCATCTGCTTCTGCTGGCTAATTACCGTCCACGTGCGTTACCATTCGCTAATGCGCGATAACGCATGATGTCGTCCCGTCTGCCACAGCCAATCGCCTGTCGCCTCTGGCTTGACTTCCCTCCTCCTAATCGATTGTTGGCCACGCATCTTTTTGATAAAGCGGACTAGCGAATCATCTCTTAAGTGATGTGGTAGGGGGGATGGTTTGGCATTTGAGTTGAGCTGCATCGCGTTGTTTGCACAACCCCTGTGTGTGGCCTGTAGACCGCACCATCATCATGGGCAGTGACGTGGCCCAATAGCGCGTTTACCGCCTGTTGCCATTGGTTCCCTGTTATAATCCGACAGGCCACCCTGGTTATTACTACGAGTGTATCGTAAAATGTGCTATCGTGTACATAAAGTGGGTGTAAAAAATAAGCCTAACAAACGAGTAGGTCATTGTGTCCAAATTTGCAGAATTAAGAAAATATTACCTGCAGATTACTCAATTGTAATTACACATAGCAATCACTGCCTCCCCCACCCTACTGGCAGCCTAATGCCAATTGCAGACCAGGTGCTGAGTACCTATGCATTCGTTAATGCCAGTTCGGTTCTATCACTGGATGTGTGCGCTGTGTGCGCTGTGTGCACCATGTATTTTCCTGTCTCGTGTAATTTACCGTGGCATGGGATGGCACTTTCGCTTCCCCCTTCCCATCCTCGATGACTGGGACCCATGCATCTGGATTTACTGCCGCCAGTTTTCCGTTTCATCCCTTTTTTTAAAAGAGACTTTCATCATTTGCTTACATTATAGAGCCACACTTACTTTGTAACTGGCTTCGTGAGTGTAGCCTTTTCTGGTTTGTTGTAAACGAATATATAATATGTAGCATACGTCTCTATTATGGAAGTAGCATACGCATATACATGTACAGTCAATATGTAAATCCACTGCTGGATGAGGGGCTGCCCATATCGTGTGAGTTCTGGGGGTAATTTTACCATACCTCACCATGATGATCAGCGTGGGTTGAAGGTGCATGTAACACTATACAAAATACTGCAGAGTAAATAAAACATGAAATAAAGTAACATACATAGAAAAACCTGATTTCTTTTCACTTACCTTGAGTCCTGATGCTAACTTGTCGTCGGAAGGGGGGCAAGGAGTCGCCACAATTGCGCGTACACACAAAAGACAAAGATCCCCCGTATAGCCTTAATAGACTGTAGGGGCAAGTGCTGTTGGCGGGCACCTATAAAGGCCGGCATGGCACACGAGGGGGTGGGTGACCAACACCACGCCCGGCCGCCTTTGTCTCCCTAGTGGCGGTGTCTACACATCGCACCAGGTACTCATTTGAGGCCTAGTCGACCTAGGGGAGGCTCAGGACGGGTTCAGATAATCGTCACTGGTGTTGGCCGTGAGTGGGAATCGAACTCGGGTTGCCAGGTTCAGTAGAGCAGCACGCTAACCGCTACACTACCGCTCCCCACACAAAGACAGGCACATACACAAAGACAGATACACACACACCATAACTACAAGGATCCCCCATATACCCTTAACAAGCTGGTGGGGCAAGGGCTGTTAGCGAGCAGTGTATATGAAGGCCGGCATGGCACACGAGGGGGTGATTGGCCAGCGCCTTTGTCTGCCCAGTGGCGATGTTTACACACCACACCAGGTCCTGGTGTTGGAAGTTCCTGGTGTTAGAAGTTCGAGGACTGTCTATACTCATAATGACTTTTTCTTTATCCAGTTTACTGCCTGCAGTAAAATAGCTGTAACCATTTGGGTAGTGCCGCGAGAAATGGTTAAACTTTGGACCCTGGAGATTAAAATCTTCCAATCACTCGAGGTTACTTTAAGGGGCTCAAATATGTGCATGCTAAAGGGGTTTGCTGTATCCTGCGCACCACAGCAATGCTTTAGTGAAAAGATAATTACGTCAAATTGTTCACCGGTGGCATGGGTCCTGGTAGTGCAAGGAATACCCCCGCTGCATCGCAGACCTCGGTGATATTTCTGGGTCACGGCTCGGTGTCACAATGTCAGGCATTCCCAGCGTGACAGGCTCACAGTCCTGCAAACTTCTCTACCGGCTTGTCTGACGACTGACCAGCGTGCACCCCAACTTATAACATTTATTGATAACCTTTATCGGCACTTCCGGCAACGTTGATCCTGAACCCTCGTTCACATGAGCTGCCCACTGGTGTTTAGCAGAATTATGATCGCAGAACTCGAGGAGCCGCTGGCTGCTGGGAGCTGCCGCAGGTGTTGGCGTTGCCTCAGGACTCGCCGGTGGTTATTGACTGGCATTGGCCGGATGGGAATAAACACAGCCGTGTGCCACAGTTCATTCATAACGATTCGAACGCAGCCGACATGCCATTACGGCAAAATTAAGTAAGATTAACTGCGCCTTAACTGTTGCTGCAGTTTCTGGGAATTGGTATCTTCTTGAACAGCACCGCCACTCATTAGGCCACCCGCTAGACTGCGTTGCTGCTTCTGTAGAGCGAATTTGAGCCTCTCTTGGCTCGCTTTTGGAGATTTGGTAATGCATGGTAAGTGACATCTGCTCAGGAAGTTTACAATTTAGTCGTGTTTAGCATCCAGCAGAGACCCCCCATGCTGCTCAAAAAACAAACATGATCATGTGATTGGAGGTCACCTCCAATTCACGTACAGCCACTTTTTAAATCCATTACTGGATGAAGGGCTCCCCACACAGTGTCGGTTCGTGGTGGTTGTTTGACTGCACTTAACCTGCACTAATTATTTGGTGATGCTGCGTTGGCAGTGGTGCACAAGCACAATTAACAAATAACTTAAGTCCCTCGTCAAAAACACTGCCTTAAATGAAAACATAAAGACATATAATCGGCAACGTTTTGGGAAATGGCCCTTCATCAAAGCACATAAACAGAGGCCAGAGAGATAGAGTGGATGATAAGAGTTGAGACTGCACTTAACACCATGGAGGCTGATGGGAATTTGATTGAAATTTTTTTTGTATCAAATAAACCCTTCAATAATCAAAATAATTATTAAACAAGTGCATTTACATTTTTAAAAAACTCATGTTGCTGGCACAATGCATTGTGGGAAGGTTTATTCTTGTGAGGACAAACAAGGCTCAACCCCCCTGCAAGTGCATTCCTGGTAACCAGTCACTGTTTCAATAAATGCATGGTTAACGACTGCTGGTCAGTGCAAGGCTGGTATAGAATAGAAGTGCCAAGGATTGGTTGAAATATCAGACACCACTGATATTAGCCGTGGCTGCTGGGTTCATAGCACGGTGTGCAAACCACTGCGCCACTGCTCGGCTCATCACTTCCGACTAGTTTTTACTATTTAACAATTACTTTAGTACTGCTCTAGCTTTGCAGGGAAAAGGAAAACCGATAATTTCTTAACGTGATAAGGATTCATTATTTTCGCGTCTATCAAGCCATTATAGACAGACCAGTGATGATGGCCATTCGTGGGCACAGGCCCTCGTACGGTCTGTAACTGAGCTCATATCGTCAATGTGGTATTGATTGCAGTAATAATAAACTAGAAATGCACTGCCGAATATCGTGAAGCGGAGCAAAGACTGTGGTATACAAACAATCGTCTTTCCGTGATGTGATCTGTTGTTGACAAATTACTGAATTTGACGAACGGTCCTGGTGCCTGGTGGCAGCTAATGTCATCGCGCTGGTGAAAATCTGTCACTTGTCCGCTTGTCTCAACATCTGTCCACATGGATCATGATTCCCTCTTTGCGAAATAAAAAAACAAGTCACTTTCATTATTTGTTTCCATTCCGCAAACGCTTTATTTGATTTGTTACATGAATACAGGATTAATGTTTTATGGTGACAAATCACTGCAATGATTGATATCCTGCTGTTATTTAAGGAAAAACATCGAAGCCAGTTTTCAAAACTAAAGAACTTCGTAGCACGTTGCATAAATCACAATTTGTTATTACGCCACTCGCAATTCTAAAAATAAAACCTTTTAATGAATGTCCTTATTGTGCGGAAAGCATTAGTTAACCTTGTTTACGCAGAAAGGCACTAGGAGTATTGTTCAACTGAATGAAAAGGGCCATCTGCTTCTGCTGGCTAATTACCGTCCACGTGCGTTACCATTCGCTAATGCGCGATAACGCATGATGTCGTCCCGTCTGCCACAGCCAATCGCCTGTCGCCTCTGGCTTGACTTCCCTCCTCCTAATCGATTGTTGGCCACGCATCTTTTTGATAAAGCGGACTAGCGAATCATCTCTTAAGTGATGTGGTAGGGGGGATGGTTTGGCATTTGAGTTGAGCTGCATCGCGTTGTTTGCACAACCCCTGTGTGTGGCCTGTAGACCGCACCATCATCATGGGCAGTGACGTGGCCCAATAGCGCGTTTACCGCCTGTTGCCATTGGTTCCCTGTTATAATCCGACAGGCCACCCTGGTTATTACTACGAGTGTATCGTAAAATGTGCTATCGTGTACATAAAGTGGGTGTAAAAAATAAGCCTAACAAACGAGTAGGTCATTGTGTCCAAATTTGCAGAATTAAGAAAATATTACCTGCAGATTACTCAATTGTAATTACACATAGCAATCACTGCCTCCCCCACCCTACTGGCAGCCTAATGCCAATTGCAGACCAGGTGCTGAGTACCTATGCATTCGTTAATGCCAGTTCGGTTCTATCACTGGATGTGTGCGCTGTGTGCGCTGTGTGCACCATGTATTTTCCTGTCTCGTGTAATTTACCGTGGCATGGGATGGCACTTTCGCTTCCCCCTTCCCATCCTCGATGACTGGGACCCATGCATCTGGATTTACTGCCGCCAGTTTTCCGTTTCATCCCTTTTTTTAAAAGAGACTTTCATCATTTGCTTACATTATAGAGCCACACTTACTTTGTAACTGGCTTCGTGAGTGTAGCCTTTTCTGGTTTGTTGTAAACGAATATATAATATGTAGCATACGTCTCTATTATGGAAGTAGCATACGCATATACATGTACAGTCAATATGTAAATCCACTGCTGGATGAGGGGCTGCCCATATCGTGTGAGTTCTGGGGGTAATTTTACCATACCTCACCATGATGATCAGCGTGGGTTGAAGGTGAGGAGGAGCATATATGTGGTAGCATATAAATAGAGTAAACTAAAATGTATTTTGCTGCACTGTCCTCTGGCACACCACCACATAGCCCTGTATCCCGATAACAACCTGTTTGTGGACGGTGATCATGCATCCGAGCACCTTCCAGGCTCAGACCTGCTTAGCTTCCAAGATCTGGTTATGGGTGCATTCCAGATGATTTCGTCATGGGCTTATGCTAGTAATGCCCCTTATTTATCCAGGAAAGCCTCACCAAGTCTCAATACTCTTTTTCCAGGGCGCTTCTGTCTTGAGATATTTTTCCAAATCCATTTAATAGGTGTTTGGCGTGTGGAAGTACACCAGAGTTCCCGGAGAAAATCAAACACACATGAGGGTTGAACACTCAGCACTGCCATCTCCTCACCATAAATGCACTGCATATTTCCACATTGTCTCATTCTCTTAAAAATATACAAAGTCCACCTTCAGCTTATCTCCGTGTTTAATTTGCAGATCGGCACTTTGTTTGAAAAGAAAAAGTTGGCATCTTCTCTGTGTTCAGCCGTGCTCTTTATATCTAACAAGCAAAGTCTATCAGAAAGGGCTAAATGTATAAAGGCGCAAATTGTAAAAATCATAAAACTAACAAACCGCGGAGGCATTTTATAATAAAGCATGAATAACGATCATGCAGCAGTCCTGGGGACTAAAACCCAGTGTGAAGATGTTGACGCTAATTCGTTCCATTTCAGCCGGGAGCATTCGGGAGTTTCTCGCCAACGGCGTTGACCCCTCAAGGTCAGTGACTGCAACTGCCGCGCCTAGCGAGTCTCCGAGTAATTTTCCACCAAACCCTGCCCCCCACACTTGCTTTGAGTGCTTTTTATCTAAGTTGACACGTTCATTTTGTGTTCCTGTGAACTTCACTTGTTCCTTTTTTATCCTTGTCGGTACGGAGATGATGACGAATATATTTATTTAGCTTTTCACACACTCCAATTACGGGAGGTGCTGTGTGAGTCGTTTTAAGTGTGGACTTTCCTTGTGTGGAGCTGTCGCGGTGCGTGGTGACTCATTACTCATTTTCTTGTTCAGAACGGTGTATTTGTTTTAAAAAAGCAAATTACTTGAACTGTCTTGTCGTGTTTTGCACCTGATGAGCACGGTTGGCTACGTATGGTGTGACAGAAGTTCCACGTACATGCATACAACAAAACCTTTTGGGTTTAAGGTTTGATAGTCTTGTGAACGCCACACTAGCTGCTGCTGTTGACACGTATCATTACCAATTAAATAAAAACTAATTATCAACGTCTTATCTGTGGGTTTGAAGTTGGCTGATAAGGTTGAGCTGGGATCTAATTTAAACTCTAAAGCCACGTTAACCGCTGCAAATAAGGCATGCTTGTTCATATTCTGAGCGAATAGCGTGTTCTTGGCAGGTGTGGAATTTTCAAACACATCAATAATATTTATCTCATGTTTGCTGAGTGGAGTGTTGGGGTGGCCTTGGTGGTGAACATCACGAACATGACTTGTGCTTCAGTGTCATCGCATGTCATTAAATTGCCATTATAAGACCGTGGCGTGTGCCAGTCCACTACTGTATGAGGGCCACCCCACGCCGTGCCAGTTGTTGGATCGTGTAACCATACTTCACCACGCTGGTCAGTGCGATTTGGCGAAGGTGCAGACCATAGATGAGGGAGCAGAGAAGCACAGCACACCAATGGCTTTTACTTCACTGCCCTCTACTGACCACCACCCCATAGCTCCACACCCCATAACGACGACCTGTTTCACGCATGCTGGTCACACATGTGAGCACTATCCACGCTCAGCCCTGCTTGACTTCCGCGATCTGACCAGAATTGACCCTTGAGCAAAAATTAAAACCTCGGGCACATTCCTGGTGATTTCGGCCCGAATGTGACACAATGATGCCTCGATCTTTAGTGCTGGTGAGTGTCGCAGTGTCACCATATAACGTGACACAGCGATGCATGTCTCATCATCGCTGCGTCACATGACATTGATGTGGGCGTGTTCTTCGTTGACTTTGTGGGAAGTGGCGGCGAAGTGGTTAGCGCATCGCATTACGATCCTGATGACCCAAGCTCGATTCTCGCTCGCAGCCAACATCGGTGACGGATACCTGAGCCGCTGCTGGCGTCCCATAGTTTAAATCAGCCTTAAATGAGTACCTGGTGCGGTGTGTAAACTTCCACAATGGAGAGACAAAGGCGGCCGGGCGTGGTGTTTTCCACCCACCCCCTCGTGTACCGTGTTGACCTTCATAGGTGCTCTCGAACAGCACTTACCCCAACAGTCTATGTGTCGTGTCTTGTTAAGTTACTCACACCGACACGTTGTAACAAGTCACTTGCTTACACTTTATTTCACCTGTTCTCACGCCAGTTGTAGGCACTCCTATAACTATCTGTACGGTCACATACACTTGACTTCTCCCCGCTATTATCTCTTCTGCACCGCACTCAGCAACTCCGCACTCAGCGACTCTGCACACAGCAGCTCCGCACTCAGCGACTCCGCACACAGCAGCTCCGCACTCAGCGACTCTGCACACAGTAACTTCGCACTCAGCGACTCTGCACACAGCAACTTCACACTCAGCGACTCTGCATCTCCACCGCTGTGCTCACCTACGCTCCCTCATACCCGCTCACCTGTCTGTCCTGGGCGGGGGGTTCAGCCAACACCCGCCCAGCGACGGCATGACGGTTGAAGTACCGTTGACGGTTTGAGCGGCAGCGGCGAGATGTCTTCGCTCTTGGTTCCTGGGAAAAACTCCCTCTCCGCTTACGCTCACTCCCCTTATATATCTCTCCTCATTCCGAGTCCTCACGTGCTCCCCCTCAAGCCGCCGCCAGCCCGGCGCCTGTTGCCCCATTAATCCCTTATCATCACCCCCCATCTCCCGTATCCTAGACGCCAACCTCTGGTCACAGCGTACCCTCTGTTCGACCTCTGTTGCGCCCGCTTAACAGCGCGCACCGCGTACATCTCTGTAAGCAACACGGGGAGGGGGGGGTCCTTTGTCTTTGATTCATTGTCACCAAATGACACAGCAATAATTTTTTTCAGTGTGACTACACCACGCGAAACAGTGGTGTGCTCATGTATTATTATTATTATTGTTGTCGTGATGCGGCGGGGTTGTTTCCCCCCCCCAGTGCTGGCGCGCGGTGTGGTGTGCCGGGCGCCGGGCACTCCACACCGCCCATGGCGCTGTTGTCGCCGACTCGGAACGTTCTGCTCGGTGGTGCCAACATGGGCAGCAGCTTCAACTCGTGCCACTCGATCCTCAGCGGCGGGTCCGTCTCCAAGTGAGAACAAACCTTCCCCCCACTCCATAAATGGCGCAAGATGAAGCAGACTTTTGTCTGTCTCGCCATGTAAAACATATGTGAATGCTGATGAGAGCCAGCAGGTCTAAACTGGTTAATGATTTGCTGCTGCTGTGTAAAATGTATCCAGAAGATGAATTAGCTGATGGACTTGGCAGGTAGTTAGATATGCTTGTGGAGATACAAATGGGAGGTGTGTTTATTTATCTGAGAAAAAAAATACAGAAAACTGCATTTTGACAAAAGAGGGATTGGGTAGGGTCAGGGCAAGGACAGATTGGAGATCGGAGAGAGAGCAACACCGCAGCACAACCCAGGACACAGAATCTGGGGCCCAGTGCCATCAATAACTCTGATCCCCAGGGGCAGCCAGAGCAGCACCAATGTATGTAGTCAACCGTGCTAATATTCCATATACACTGCATATCTGAATACAGGTGATCAACCTACTAAAATAATAGTGATATATTATACAGAGAACATCATTTTCTTTCAAAGCTTCGACATATCCTTCCACCAATATCAATTCACTCGTTAATCTTTTAACCTTTTCCTCTGCAAGATACGGAGTTGTCCTTTGCAATATTCAATCGATATTCGACCACCTGTTAGGAGAGGAAAGTAAGAGATGTGAGAAATGTGTGGGGTATTCATAAATGGATCACCGTGGTGTACAAAGATCCCCCTATAACCTAAACAGACTTTTGGGGCAAGTGCTGTTAGCGAGCACCTAATGAAGGCCGGCACAGCACACGAGGGGGTGAGTGGCCAACACCACGCCTCGCTACCTTTGTCTCCCCAGTGGCGATGTTTACACACCACACCAGGTACTCATTTGAGGCCGAGTCGACCTAGGGGAGGCCTATAACCGGTTCAGATAATCGTTACTGGTGTTGGCCATGAGCGGGAATCGAACTCGGGTCACCGGGTTCGCAGTGCAGCGCGCTAACCTCAACACTACCGCTCCCCGTCGTGGTGTGCACACATATGTGCTCTCGCTCTCGGTGCGTGCCACGCGCGTAGCTTGTCTGACCTGCTGGAGCTGCGAGGCGACGACCCCGAGGGGCTGCTGCTGGAGCTGGGCTTCGGCGAGGAGGAGGAGGATGTGGCAGCACGCGTACCGCCGCGCTTCTTCAGCACACCCTCGGCCGCCCGCGGAATCGACCTGCGCGTCTTCCTGCGAGCACAGCTCCAACGGATGGACGAGGAGAGCCCTACGATCGCCAGTCAGTACCTCCCCTCTCTCGGCCGTGCCGCCTCCGTCGTGTCGAGCTTCCCCCTTTCTCGCTGTCCTCCTCCCCCCTCTTTTGCAGCAGCCTCCTCCTAAGAGAAGAACAGAAGAAGATGAGATTGCCGGTTGATGAGAGTACAGCAAGTAGGTTTCTGTAGTACAATGTTCCTTAAACAGCAGTCGTCAGGACCCACACGTGGTGTGTATTGTGTATGCAGTGCGGAGCACTTTCATTACTGACCCACTCATACTGGGCATCTGTGAAAAAGAGCTTCTTTGGATTCCTCCAGTCCAAATAAAAATTCTGATTCTGATTTGCATGCAAATAGAACTGGTTAGAAATTACAGAAGGCTGCACAGTGGGGGGGGGGGGGGGTCGCTGCTGGAGTGACCGTGTGGTGGGACCTCCTTTGCCAGTACCAAAATATGAGAATAGCTTTTCCCCTTTTTGAGACTAGGCTCAAAAGAAAGCTGTCTCTGGTGTGGACCAATAAGTTTCAAGCATATATTATCAGAGTGTTTTTGTTTGCATTCTGACCACAAGTATATGTGGTTAATGCAGATATGATTCCTTGTAAAATGTTTCAGTTTGGTGTTTTAAAATTTTAACACAGCTGTTTGTTGCCAGAAAAAAGGGAAAAAACCTATTCTCAGAGTACACCCCCTCGCGTTAACCTCAGCTGCTCTCCTTTTCCGTAAGTTGAAAGATTATCCTCAAAACACTGGCCTAACATGCCAGGGACATTTTTGAGACTCACGAATGTCTTCCTGGGAAAAACAAAATCCTATTGAAGCATTGAGAAATTCATGGAACATATCTTCCACTGCTTCTCTAATGATATGTGTGTGTGTGTGGCTTGAATGACCAGTGGGGGTGGTAGTGTAGAGGTTAGTGTGCTGCACGACGAATCTGGTAACCCGAGTACGATTCCCTCTCACCGCCAACACGAGTGACAATTATTTGAACCGGTCTGGGCCTCCCATAGCTTGACTCAGCTTGAAATGAGTACTTTGTGTGATGTGTGTAAACATCGCCACTAGGGAGATAAACGCGGTTTGGGCGTGGTGCTGGTGACCCACCTCCTCGTGTGCCGTGCCGGCCTTCATAGGAGCTCTCTAAAAGCACTTGCCTCAACAGTCTGTTAAGGCTATATGGGGTATCTTTGTTTTGGAATGACCAGTGCAGAGTCTGAGTGATACGAGATGCTATGACAAGAAGACCTTTAAACATGCCAATAATTATTGTTTATATTGCTTATAGAATGCTTCATGCAGCTAGGCCTCGGCAAGGTAAGGTAATTTACCTTTTTTACCGGATAAAAGGGTAAAGGTATCGACATGCCAAGGGGTAAGGTAAAAGGTAGGGTAAAGGTAGCTCGGAAGAATTACCCGGTAGGGTAAAGGTAGCACGAAGTATTACCCGGTAAATACGGTGCCTTGTTTACCGCTAAAAGCTCCGTGGTGCAGTCCATGGCCTCCATTTAATAAGTAATATTAAACAAAATTTGTATCGCGCTTTAATGAAATGTACTAGTAATAGCAGAACTCCACGACTCCAGGAAGTGGCCCCGAAGCTGGCCATAACGTAAGGGACTGTGGCCAATTACAGCCAACGTCAGTTGAGCGTGGACAATTAGACCCAAACCGAAACATAACATATAAAAAAGATCGTTTAAAAAGATATTTTTAATGATAGAATATAGTATTGTCATCAGTATGACATAAGTATACCAAGTTTGCAGTTGATACCACATTGGAAAGTGGGTTAAAATTGAGTTACAAGATTTGAGGATACAACAACGACAGTAGACAGTGAGTTAAAATAAAACGTGTAAAATTGTAATAATCGAGAGTATTCTATATGAATAAAGCGCTCTACCTAGCATTTACCTGTTATAAACCTTTTTCATGTGTAGTACCCCAGTAATTACCCTGTAATCGGGTAATTTGTATTGGGTAAGGGTAAAAGGTAGGGTAAAGGTAGGCTCGTTGCTTTTTACCTTTTACCTTACCTGCTAAAGGGCAAAAGGTAGGGTAGAGTGATTGTATTGTGGTAAGGTAAAAGGTAGGGTAAAGGTAGGCTCGTTGTTTTTACCTGTTACCTTTTACCTTACCTTGCCGAGGCCTACATGCAGCTATGACTGCATCATTCTATCGTCTGTCTTTTCTTTCTGGCGTGGTTCACAACACAGTGCCTCTTTTATGTGCCGGTTAATCTTTCATACTCGCACAGTGGCATGACCAATTGTAGATGAGCTCAGCACCTAGCAAAAATATTATTTCCATTCCCAAATGAGGCATCTGCTTTTTCCATGCGCTGTGGCCCACGGCCGCGTTGCTTCAATTTACGCGATCGCCGCTCTCCGATTGGAATCTTCCTTCACGGTCTCTCTGTTGGGCCCGTGCGCAGGTCGTTTCCGACAGGTGGAGGTGCTGGCCAAGGTGACGGACACCTTCTCCTCCCTCTACTCGCACGTGCGAGTCCGCCGCGACCAGTCGCTCGCGGAGACTCCCAGCTCTCCCCGATCCCCGCTTCTTGGCAGCGCCAACTCCGTGGCGTCACGGGCCGCTCAGAACCTGCTGTGCCGCACGCGCTGGCAGAAGAGGAATGACAGCAGCAGCGTCGCGGCGGACGAATTGATCAACAGGGACGATGGGACGATGGACGGAGGCGGCGGTGGCGGTGGCGGTGGAGGCGACGTGGGGGGACCGGGGAGGCGCGGGGGACGGCTCAGGAAGCCGTCACGGTTAGTGGAGAGCCCCCTGCGCCTGGAGCCACTGGTGGAGGAGGTTTCTGTAGGCGGCGGAGTCTCGCCCGTGCTCCCCGGAGCGCCAGCGTTCAGCTTTGTGGGATTCGCGGTGGCACCAACGCACAATGACCTGAAGTCGGGAATCGGCCTGACGTCTGAGGGCCCCGAGCCTGCGTGCACACTCGTGAACAGAGTCGCGGAGGCTACTGCTGATGATCCTTATCCAGTATTTGTTGACGAGGAAGATCATCGAGAAAACGTGCCTTGTTCGAGTCCGGAAGCGGAGGACCTTAGCTTAGGCTCACCTGCTACATCCGTTGATGGTGTAGATGTGGCGTGCGATAACAAAATCGCATTTGACAATTCGAACCCAAGCGGCATTGCAATGGAATTAAAATATGCCCTGAATTACAATGACAACCCCGTTGACGGTGCGGATTCGAGTGGCGTTCTCCAGTCGCATGCCGTATGTTCCTACACAGACAAGGGAGTCGATGATCAGCGGGCGCATGCAACCATTGAGCAAGGTGGGGACAGTCGTGCGAGGAAGCAGATTGCAAAGGCTGCCTCCTCTCAGTCAGGTGATGAACTGTGGCAGGAACCTTTGGACCCCAAAGAGGCTTTGTCTCAGCAGCCGCTGCCATACAGGCAGAATGTGGGCCGACGGCACGCAGCGAGCCCACAGCAAATGCGCTCGTTATCGTCGGACGACAGCCAAGATCTTCCGACGCCCTTCGAAGATTGCGATCACAGTGAAATAATCATGGTAAGGCATCTGGCAGCGTTGGCATGGTTCCAAGGAATGCTCTTAAGTAGCTAATTAAATTGTGCGGATGCCCCTCGTGGTTAAGAGTGTGTGTGGTTTATTGCATGATGATGGGCCATTTTGGGTTCGGAGTACTGTCTATGTTGGTCGCCGAGGATGGGCGTGCGGTGGGGGAGGGGGGCGTGGTGGGAGTTGGGGGGGGCGGCAGTTAATCGGTCGGTCAGGGATTGAAGGTGACTTTGGAACGGGTGCGAGCGCCGCCTGCCCGCGCCTCGTGCTTTTCATTTCCAAGGGCAATAGTCAGGGAAAAACATTCACGGCCAGGGAATTGCCACGTGGCCTCATCCAACGCAAACAAATCTCCACTGCGGCGTGGCACTTGTGCCGACCGGCGTGACCTCCCCCCGGCACTGCCTTGGGGGCAAAAGCAGCCTAGCAAACGATGTGAGAACCTCTCAAACGGCCATTGTGAAAATCGTGTCAATTTGAGGTTTATTGTGATGCACTGCAAGAAAACGAGCCAGGCTGCATTGTACAAATTGCATGTGTGGCGAGTGCCAAGGGGCATGCATGGCCCTGCGAGTGGAGCTCGGTGCATGGCGGGGGGCGATCCAGCGCAGACCCCTGCTCGTGGTGAGCCGCCCGTATGAAGCGGGTGTTTAATTCCCTTCTTGGAGGATGACGATGATGGCAGAGAGGTCGTTGGGGAAACAAATTACAACCTTTGACCCCTCTGCTGGCTAACGTGCGATTTACATTCTGTGATATGTGCTCTCGTGCTTTTAAGGATCAGGAGGACGGAGAGCGTGAGGCCTCACCGGAGCTGGTGGCTTGTGTAGCGCACAAGCCTGATGGGCCACTGGAACAGTGTAGACGGCACCTGATGGGTGAGCATTTCTTTCCTCTGTCCGAATCTTTATTTAGACTGGAGGAGGAATCCGATGAGCTATGAAGCTCTTTTTCACAGATGTCCAGTATGGGCGGGATCAGCAAGTTACAATGACAATGCAGAAAACGATAGGAGCTCAATATATACAAAAAGGTAAGCAAGTCACTAAATATAAATACATAATACGTAAATGATTTTTATCAAGATTTTGCAAGGCAGCAAAAACAACAAGAAAACAATCCCAGAACCACATCAAGATAAAATAGTCCCTCAATAAATGGCACATCAACACCTTTTAATTATCTATCATGCATACATAATGATGATGATAATGATAATAATTATTTACAAACAACAACAACCTCTATTTGATTCACTAAACTCTTCTAAGAAGGATGTGACCTCGGGATATTTGGCCAATTCCACACATACAGCAGAGGACACAGATGAATTCACAAACCTACTTATTCTGCTGCAATCTTCTAGCCATCTCATAGCCCAGCCTGGTACAAGTGATTGTGGCAGTGGTTGTGCAAAAACTTGGGGCAATTGTGGGAAAAGTGGCGTTGGCAATGAGGACACAGATTCTGAACGTTTGTGGATTATATGGAGCTTTTTTTTTACACCACAGCGGTGTGACGCACACATGTACATATGTGTATGTTGAACTTCTTTCACACCATACGTAGGGAAGCGTGCTAATCGCGAGCGAGTTGTGTGGTGTATGTCGAGGACCACGGTTACTATCGTTGGAAGCCTGGCTGAGCAAGAGTGCTGCTCTGCGGAGCCCGGAAACTCCACGTGCGGCGACAGACGCTAATGCCGCGTCACATTTACACTGCGATGTGTCGTGTCCCCTCGACGTTTGTCAAAACTCGCTTGTGTGGGGCCCACCGCAAAGCCAACCTACCTATTTATAGTCCGTCGTGTTACCAGTCTGATTGCTTGACGTATTTTTTTCTTTTAATCTGGTATATTTTACAGTGTGTGCATAAATAGTTTTCAACAAAAGCTGCCAATGCGTTCACGTTTCTGCCCGAGAGGAATTTTCACGTCGCTGAGCATGACCCAAAAGTTTGAGCGAAACAAATCTCTTTCTGGGAGCGCGTCGTAACGTGCTCGTCTGCGCGTGTTATTTTCAACAATAGAAAACTTCCGCACAAACAGCCTGCAGTCGGACAGCAGCGGCTTCGTCGACGACTCGAGTGTCGACCTCAACCCAAAGAGGAACGCTGAGGTATGCAGCACCCGCCCAATTGTGCTTGGCCATCGATCTGCGACATTATGATCTCGAGAGTCATGATGGGAACCGCTCTTCCTCGTCCTCCTCCTCCTCCCCGTGTGTTCCCCTGGTAGCTCTTCTGTACTTCCCACGTGGAGATGGGCAGCAGCATGGAGAGCTCGGACAGCTGCGTGACCGTGCGGTGGATCGGTGCCAAGCAGGCCGAAGCCATCACGTGCCTGAGCCCCACATCGCCGGACATGAGCGAAGCGAGTTTCCTCACGACCGTGTCCAACTGGGACGAGGAGACATGGGACAGGGAGACGCGGGAGGGGGAGATGCAGGAAGAGGAGCTGTGGGAGGAGACGCAGGAAGGGGAAATACGGGACAGGGAAGCACGAGAGCAGGAGGCACGGCGTGGGGAGATGAGGGAAATCCATATGCGGGAGAAGGAGAAGCAGAACAGCGAGACCCAAGAGGATGAGATGCAGGAAGGGGAGATGCTGCACAGGGACGTGCAGGAGCAAGAGACACGGGATGCGGTGACGTGGGAAATGGAGTCGCATAAGGATGAAATGCAGGACGGGGAGATGCAGGAGGAAGAGATATGGAAAGAGGACAGCGCGGTAGCGTCACCGGGCCCAGACTACGCTATCTCCACATCCCCGTGCGATTTGTCAGAGACGGATGGAGCGCATTTAAACAGCGTCGACCGTGGCGACTTGCCGACGGCATCAAGTCAGTGCAGTTTTTCACGGAGCGAGCAAAACCTAGCAGGTGTTGTCGACACCGTGTTTGAGATTTACATGATTTTCAGTGAGGAGCCTCAAGAAGAGCACGGCTCACAAATGAATTTCAAGCCTTTGGGATCCTTGACTCCCATCTCTAGGGAAACGTATGGAATGGAGCTTGAGTCAAGTGGCGAGCCAGAGATGGAGTGCAATCCCAGCAGAATTTTAACAGAAGACCTCATCATTAAACTCGAGGACACGCTCGGAGGAGAACTCTCCCAAGAACCCGCATCGATTGGTGAGCATTTAACGAATTCACGTGACGTGTTTCACGGCGATTTGGGCAAAAATAGCATTCCGCTGGGGTGCAACAGTGACCTGTTAGTGAGCGGCGATGTTCCTCTGATCGATGTGGGTGACCCTGCCAGGGGGAGGTCACGCCTGCAGCGACCAAACGTCGTTGATTTACGAGCGACTGAAAGTGTCTCTGAGGGGCCTGAATTGCGAGTGCAGGAAGAGGCGCATTTCGGGGCATTTGAGGTGTCCACGCCAGTGAACTGCGAGTACATCGATCACCCAAAGACGCGACGTGTCGTCGGCGAGGCGCGCTGGGAGCCAGGCACACAAGTGTTCGCGAATCTCGAGTCCCATCGACACTCCAATCGAAATTTGGAGGAGGCTTTTGATGAGGAAATCCAAGAGGGTTTGGAACAAGAAGAATCATTAAGTGATTCGGAACAAAGCTCTGTACTGGATGACTCTGATGCTGCAGGAGAAGCTGAAGGGAGAGTGCAGATTTCGGGCTCACAAGACGACCACGGGATGATTGCCAGGCCTGGAACTTGGAATCGAAATTTAACTTCTCACAAAATGATCTCATTCGTACCATCCTCTCGCTTGATATGCAGTGGCGTGCCTTACGTACCACCCTCGGTCGCTCGGAAGATACAAACGTCTCTGCACCGCATTTCTGTGAGGGACCGCGGGCAGCAGGGTGATGCTAGAGAAGCAGAGACGCCGCAAAACGTGACCTCGCCACTGAAGGCAACGTCACCTCCTGCCACGAGAGCGCAGCAGGGAGCATCCCCACCGTGCCCAGGTTTGTCGATGCCCCGTGGCCTCTTCTCTAGTGAGAGACCCTCCCCAGTGCCCGGTAAACCTCCGGTAAAGTGGGTTGAGTCTCCTCGCGTCGTATCGTCGATACTCATAATGAACGGCACGGACGACCACGCGGCACGCCTTCCCCGTCGCGTCCAGTTTGCACCCAGCAGCTCTCCCACATCTCACAAAGAAAATAAATGTCCTCAGAGGAATGAGGAAAGCGCGACGAGGAAAATCGAAAGGAACTCTAATAGAGGTTATGGCGCTGACGGCGGCTGTAGAATGGACGACCGTGCGAAAACGTGTCGGACGGAACTGTTCGTGCCTTTACGAAGAAAACAGCACAAATTCTTGGACAGCAGTGTTCAGCCCTCGCGACTCCACTCGAGGTGCGGCGAAGACAACGATGTCTTCGCAGGCCACCATCACTCGTGCATGGGCAATTCCTCAAGTGTTCACCCTTGGCACCTTGTCAGCCAGCCCTGCTGTCCCGAGTACCATCACGCTCACCACCACCACCACCACCGTCGCCAGAGTGTGCCATTGTGTGACGAGTGCGGCGCCGCTCAGGTTCTTCCTGCGAGGTCGCCGTGCTCACTTGCCGTGTGCGCCAGCGTCGTTCCCTGGCACGCGGCGCCGTGCTCCCCGTGGGCACCATGTGGGCACGGCGCGTCTTGTGCACGTACGCTGGAGGCCCGACTTATGGAGGTTCTGTGCGGGATCCAGCTCGCCGTGAGGAGCGTCACTGCCTCGCTGGTGAGTGCCCGCATTGCTGCTCTGGTATTGACACCTGTCCTGGTTTTCCCAGGATTGCCCCACTTTTTAGTTAACTGTCCTGGTAAATGGGCAAGTGCTTCCATTAAAAGTTAAGTTTTTATCGGTTCCGTATAGTTCTCCCCTCTTCCTGTATCATGAGATATTCTTATTCTCATGATAATATCCCAGTTTTTTGTACCACTGAGCTGGAAATCCTAGTTGCTGCTTATGTCATAATGCACCTGTGTGGCAGTGATGCTGACACCTCCCTTCAGCTCCATGCTGGCGCCTCCCTCCAGCTCCATGCTGGTAGGTAATGGATGAGTTTGATTTTGGTTTTGACTGAAATATCATCTGGGTGACCTGTAGATCGGTGGAACAGACGCGGGTCACGTGGCAGAAACCTCTAAAGACTTTCAAGAGCAGCGGCTCCGGACTGAGGTGATCCGACTGGAAAGGGCAGCGTTCAAACGCCATGCTGCCTGGGGTGGCCATGCAGAGCTTGCGTTCACTTCAGAGAGAATCAGAAATTTTGAATATTTTCCATCACATCGATTGTAAATGGAGGCAAGGAAAAAGTGCCGTGAGTGTATGGGCAAGTGCTGTTTTAGTGAGCACCTATTACATAGCAATACAAAGACAAAGATCCCCCTTATAGCCTTAATAGACCGTTGGGGCAAGTGTTGTTAGCGAGCACCACGCCCAGTTGCCTTTGTCTCCCCAGGGGCGATGTTTACAAACAGCGCTCGGTACTGAGGCTGTCAGGCCCAGAACCGGTTCAGATAATTGTCACTGGTGTTGGCCATGAGCGGGAATTGAACTCGGGTCACCAGTTTCTTAGCGCATCACGCTAGCCGCTGCACTATGTGTTGAACTTTTTTTGCACCGCACGTAGCCAACCGTGCTAATTGGAGGTGCACTACCGCTCCCCACGCACCGATATAAGACAAAGACACAGATTCCCTGTACAGCCTTAACTGATGGGGCAAGTGCTGTTAGCGAGCACCTAATGAAGGCCGGCATGGCACACACTGATATACACACGCATGCGTAGGTACACACATGCACACTGGTGTTACATGGTTATGTACACAAAGGTACAACAGGTGCCTGCAAACAATAAAATCTCACGGCCGTTTAAAACAATTGCGGGGTCTGCGGATGCCGTGAAGGTGTTTGGCGCTGGACAGCGGAAATGATGATGAGCGTTGTCCACTGTTCTCGCTGTCTTCTGTTTTTCACCCCGGATGCGGCAGTGTGCCCTGCACGAGATGGACTCTGTGCAGAGAGACCTGTTGCGCTTCGAGCGAGAGATGAGCGAGCTGGAGCAGCAGTCAGCAGCGCAGCCAGCGGTGACGCAGCGCCACAGGTGCGAGTGCGTGTGTGTGTCTGGGTAGAGCAGTTGTGTAGTGGTTAGCGCGCTGCGCTATGAACCTTGTGACCAGAGGTCGATTCCCACTCACGGCCAACACCAGTGATGATTATCTGAACCAGTCCAGGGTCTCACCTAGGTCGACTTAGCCTCAAGTGGGTACCTGCTGCGGTGGAGTGTCTGTGGTGTCGGCCCCACAGCCATCCTACAGCCACCGACGCCTGTGGCCTAGCTCGCACGTGACACCACGGAGTGCTCGAAGTAGCTCGTCCAGCGATGCCTACAGCAGAGAAACGTCGCTTTGAGATGTTGCCGTGCGATTGGAGCACCACGCGGGTTTCTCTACCCCCACATCTCATGCCGCACACGTCCAGGCGGGAGTGGGAGAGGCTGCGGGCCCTGCGTGAAGACGTGCGGAGGGAGCTGGCCCAGCTGCAGGAGCGGCTGCGGGACAGGAGGCGAGCGCTAGAGGGGCAGCTGCAGGTGGGTCACTTGACTCTTGGTCGCCCGCGGCTATCGGATGAAACTCATCACCAGTGGGATCGGACGGCTGTGCGTGTTGGCTTTTCTTTGTTAAACATTGACGGCAACAGCCGCCATTCAGCCATAAGTGACCATGGCGTTACCATGGCACTATTGCCAGGTGGCAAGATGTTAACTTCATCGCCTGGTGTACAGAAGATCATGGGTTCGATCCCGACCCCGACGCCTGTATATTTGAAGTTTGCATTTTCACCCCGTGGTCGCGTGGATTTTTCTCCGGGTCCTCTGTTTTTTTTTCCCTCCACATTCACAAACATGCGTTTCGAGTATTTGGCTGCTCTACATTTCCACATAAGCCCCTTTGCTGACCTATCCTTTGTGGTCAGACCACTTCTGAAAAAGAGCTATATAGCTCAGTCGGCCTTACCTGGTTAAATAAAAACATTTAAATAGTTATTTTTTATATAGATGCACTTTGACGCCACGTGAAGTGGCATTGCCTTACCGGCAGGAGGTCACAGGACAGTCTTGGGTGTTATGAGTTAACTGAAATGACTGGAGAATGGCGCCCCCTGTGCTCCCCACTGTGCCACCTTTGCTGCCTTTTAGCCACCCGTGACTCTGCTAGTGATGTGCACCTGTATAGCCTTCATGGACTGTTGGGACAAGTACTATTTGCATGCACATAGTACTTTAGGCCGCCACGTTACATGATAGGGTGGTGTCACCAGCACCATGTCTGGCTGTCATTGTCTCCCCAGTATTGATACTGCCTCCGCAGTACTTACTGATACATTGCACCTGATGTGGATGTAGGGGAAGCGTGGGGTAGTTTTTGACGCCAATTGCGATTGCTCCTATCTGGTACTTATGTCTTATAAAGAAGGTCCTTGCCTGTAACATCTGGCTATTCGCCAGCATTGGATAAAAAATCCTGCATCTGCTGATGAGACATGATGTTAAATATGGCCTGGAAGCTGCTTGCACTCCCAGATGGGCCGTGGGGCTGATGGGTCGTATAAAAATAATTTAAAATGTTTCATGGGAAAAGACGTATATATGAAGAAGACAATGTCTGCTTGTGTATTCTATCATCTATGGCTGGGAACTGAACCATCTATGGCTGGAATTGTGGCATGATTCTCTAACTGTATCAACACCGCACACACACCCAATGCCACACACACCTCACACATGCACTCACAACGGAGCTCGATCGCCTGCAGCGTGGATAATTCCACGTGTTGAGATGCTTTAGCATCTGTGTCACGCGTGGTGCAGCACTGGCCCAGCAGCGGAGCTGTGTTGATGGTAATTGCACGAGCGATGGCAGTAATCACTTCCGTTTGTCGTGTTTTTCTTTTAACTGGGACGAAAAATCAGGCAAAAAATATAGCTTGGGACTTTGATGTAGCAAATCTAAAGGTAGCTTTAAAAAAATATTTGTGCGATATCATTTAGTGTAGAGCAGCAACGCCTGTCAAATTTACCGATGGCAAGAGTCAATACCAGTCACTAAAGAGGCACGCGTGTGCATCACGCAAGTCGACAGAATCTAACATCGGGTCCGATCAGCCTCATTGGGCGTACAAATTTACAACGGTAACGTTTTATTACATCTACGTAATGCTGAAACGGCAGTGCCAGATTATCCTAGTTGCAAAAGTAGCATATGTTACGGGCCCCACACTTTCAAGAGCCCCGCGCTAAATGCTTTCAAGCTATCAATTCCGGTTCAGTGATTCTGCACTTGCTCTTTCTATAGGACTATACAGCCTTCAACTTTTATGAACGACTAGGTGTTTAAGTTAGCGATTTGTCGTATTATCTGGCTGTATAGCAAGTGAAAAAATACAATTACTTTACTATGCGAGTAAAAAATTAGTGTTTTAACATTTGTGTTTTTTAAATTTATGGCCCCTTTATAACATATGCTGCAGACCCCACACTAGCTTAATCCGGTACTGTGAAACGGTCTCGGTGATAACCAACATATAATCCCGGACCATCCACGAAGGTCCTTTTCTAGCCATGCCACATGCTGTCAAAGTGTCACCGTCGCTGTGTAGCACGTCGCGGTATGTGCCGTGATTTGTTACGATTTAGTTTTTCACTTTATTTTTGGGTCGTTCCTCCTAGTGCGCCATTGAGCTGGTGGGGGGGCAATCATCGATAACTGTGTGCAGTGCGCGTTGGGTACTTGGGCTTTTGTTGCCCGCCAAATGTTGCATTAAGGTTATTATGTACGTAGGTATGTGTGCGTACTATGTGGCGCAGCGGTTAGCGTGTTGCGCGACAAACCCAGCGACCCAAGTTCGATTCCCAGTCACGGCCAACACTAGCGACGATTATCTGAACTGGCCCTGGGCCTCCTCCCCTAGGTCGACTCGGCCTCAAATGAGTACCTGGTGCGGCGTATAAACATCACCACTGGAGAGACAAATGCGGTTGGACGTGCTGTTGACCACCCACCCCCTCGTGTACCGTGCCAACCTTCGTAGGTGTTCGCTAACAACACTTGCCTCAACAATGTGTTAAGGCTATACGGAGAATCTTTGTCTTTGTATGCATGTTGAACTTCTTTCATACCATAAATAGCCAATCATGCTAATCAGAATGCGGGGAATATATTTGCAGTGGTACCTCGGTATAGGTCGTTAATTCGTTCCAGAAGGTAGGACTTGACGTATACCGGAAGTGACGTCTACCAAACGAATTCTTCCCATAAGAAATAAAGGGAAAGGAAGTAATCCATTCCAGAGTATAATAAATTATATTTTATATGGTATATTATACATTTATGGGGTTGTATAACATAATTTAGACACTACTTATTATTACTAAAATGCATACATACATTAAAATAAATGCATAAATAAATTACAATAAATTGAAATAATTTTTTTTATATCAATAAAGAATTAAAGCTTTCGTGACTGCATAAATTACTCATTGGTTTTTTCGGTAAAGTCACGTATGTAGAAATACGGTCGGAACGTTGTGATTGATTTATTTTATTTTAATATCGTTTTATTGTATTTCTACATACGTGACTTTACCGAAAAAAACAATGAGTAAATTAATATAACTTTACCTTGCTGAGAGGAGTTGATAGCCTACGAGGATGGTGGTGAGGAAGGGGAGGAGGAGGAGATGTTATTTTATAGGAGAGTCCCCTTCCATTAAAACTTCAGGAAGCTGAAATTCTGGGGTTTTTTCTCTTTCTCTTTTCTGCTTTTTTTTTTCTTGACTTGGACCTGGTTGAGGCTCACCAGGTTTGAGTTTTACTAAAAACCTGTCCATTGAAGTTTGTTTTTGCCTTCTAAGAATGAACGAGATCTACATGCAGACTGAGCCGCTTTGTTTGAGTCGTGAACGGGGTATACGCGGGTACGCGGTGACTCATCCCGACCCATACAAGTTCTAGCAAGCGCGTCGTATCCTAAGCAGATATCCTATCCCAAGAAATGTTTTTCTCGTCAAAACACGACGTATACCAAATTCGACGTATTCCAAAGTGGTCGTATACCGAGGTACCACTGTATATTAGTCTTCAAGTAAATCGGTCCAATAACAGAGGGTGGCGTGGGGCTGAGAAGGCGGGGTGGGGGGCCAATCCCACCCAGGCCCGCTCATCACCTCCAGTTGCAGGCGCAGAGTGGCCCAACCCAATCGATTAACGTCGCGCTAATGTCTCCCTTATTTATTTATTTTCTCCTCCTCTCATGTTTGATGGAAAATCAATCACAGCTCTCGGCGTGCAATAAATATCAAGTGTCCGTAAGTGATAGCACTCGCTTCTTCCTGCAATGCCAAGCTGTCATTTAAGCACCGCAGCTGATGCTAGGCACTGCTTATCTATTAGGTTCGGAAAGCTGTCCTTATCATTGTCTCCTCCATCCCATCTTGAAAATTTTTAATTCGAATCAATAAATGCTAAAACGCCGATGCAAAATCAATATTCCACGACCTAAAAATTAGTTTGACTGCATTGGCGCATTCTAGTAAACCACGGGCGAGGCACTGAACGAACATCGGTGCCGATGACCAAATGACATCGCGCCTCATCTGGTCCCATCTCAGAAGCCAAGGAGGATTGAGCCTGGTTGGTGCTCGGATCCGTAACCAACTGTACATACCAGGTGTTTTGGGCCTAAGGCTACGGTGTGCCAATAGATGGCAGTACAGCAATGAGTTCAGTCCACAGAGTGATTTGTGAATTGAATCCGTAGATTGAATCTATCCACGTCGCGCTTTCCGTGATATTTTCTCATATACTTGGGTGTTCTTTGGGTACAGAACTGGCCAAACATTGCAACGTAAGTCTTTGTTGAAATTTTTTTATCAGGTATATATGTTGAACTTCTTTCGCACCGTACGTAGCCAACCATTCTAATTGGTGTGTCGGGGAAGGATAACAAACTAAGCGCATAAAGCAGTTCCAAATAAATGATGTTTTTATCTAGATGATTTAGAAGTTCATAGCACCAGTGGCTTCCTGATATTGGAAGGAAGAGCGTTCCAGACAGCTGCAGAAGCGCATCTGAGATCACGCGATGCAGTGACCGTCTTTGTTCGATAGTTAGTCAAAAGCCGCTGCAAGGGTGCCTGTAGTTTGCGTCATGGTTCATGCTCCTTGACGAGTTTTGAGAGTTGGTGAGACTTGGTGAGGCTTTCCCAAATAAATTACGACTACAGTACTACCGGTATTATTGGCATGAAGAGTTGGCGATGTGAGGGTTTTTGTGGAGGAATCGGTATCCATACTTCAGTGGGTGAGGCATGTTCTGCAAGAGATGGAACATTCTTTTGAAAGCATTTGATAACACTTGATAACATTTGATAACACTTGCAGGGCGCACTGCTGTTGGTGAAGTCACAACTGTATCTCTCATGGTTCTCCCGGAATCGGGCAGCCTTGGTGGTGGTGGCGATGAGAAAACGACATTCGCAGCCACCGCTCGCATTCCCCAGAGCAGGCGAACCCGCGCCGGGCGAACTGGAGCTGTGTGCTATCGCACGGCGACATTCATGATCAAGGGCGACAGTTCGCAAATGCGTTCTATTTGAGGGCTTCACTGGGAGCAATGTACTGGCAGCTTTGGAGGCACACAGGCACATTTGTGTTAATTTAAAAACGTTGCATCGCATTTGCAGAATGCATTGTTAACAAAACCAAACAGCCCAAGTTGGTTGAGATTATTCCCGGGCAGTCACTGCAAAGTGAGAGATGTGTAATCACGATTAGCATCATCAGTTATGATCCATCCACAGCTGGATGAAGGCCTCAACAAGCCATCCTATTTCACACTCCTGTGATATAATAACCCACCTAGCACCTGCGCAAATGCTCCATCTCCTTGATGTACGTCCTCTCAGATGCATTCCACCCCTTCGCTGCCATTACGTCATTATGCTAAACCATTGGCCATTGTCGCTTCTAGTGATGTATCCCACCCGATCCCACATTGCTTTTGTTCAATGAGACTGACTGTATTTAACTTGTGCATGGTCTCTAATCCGTGTGTTCCTCTGTCTGTCTCTCAGTGTCATCGTTTGTGTCTGTTTTCAATCCATGTCGTAACGGGTAGTACGAATTGATTAAAATGTTCTTCATTATTAAGTTCAGCATTCCAAAACAACTCTAACCTCGCTCTTTCCGCCTCATTAGCCACCGTGTTAAATCTCTCTCTTGCTCTCAGGCGGAACCCACATGGGGAGCGGCAGCCACAGAGAGGAGCGCGAAATCCTCCGAGAGTCCGTTCCTGCAGCACATGGTGAGTGCCGCTTCTTAAGAGCCACTCTAACCCCTGACCCCGAGCCGTGGCCCCAGCCTCGGCACGAGCCCCAGAGACGATCCATACTCCTGCCTCGATTACTGTGCATCAATGCGGCAATTACTGCTAATTGAATGACTAATAAGTGTCGTGTACTTGTTTTTTTGTTATTGCTCGGTATCATCTGTATTCAATCCCATTAGCCTAGCGGCTTGCCATCGCGAAGTCATGCAGAATGACTCGATTTCCCCACGAGTGAGGGTGGAGGTTTAGATTGGTGGATTTTGATGGCATTCACCCCACACAGGGCTCATCCGAATTGTGCAAAATCCAGAAATATGTGTAGATAGGGCTCCTTTTGCAGCTGATCCGTTGGCTGTTCACATCACGTGGTTTTTCACCATGGAAGTGGAAAAGGAAGGCAAGTTACCATTCTTGGTTGTTTTAATCAAAAATAGACCAGATGGCTCATTGGGACACTCTACAGAAAAGCCACCCACACGGATTCCTATCTAAAACCTGACTCCCACCACTAATATCCAGCCCAGCCTCATCAAAACCCCACACCATAGGGCCCGTTGCATCTCCGACCAGCACCACCTAGCCAGTGAACTGGAGCACATACAACCAAGCCCTAGAGATGAATGGATATTCAGACCACACAATCTGCAAAGCTGTCACCCAAACTTTGGGGAGAGAACTATCTGAAGACCCAATCAAAACCATCAACTTGCCATACATAGCAGGGGTTACCAAAAATATTTCCAAAATCATGAACAAACACAAAATCCAGGTTCGATTCAACACGTACATACAATTCGTGATCTGATCCCATCTGTGAAGAATGTGATCCCTGATATGCAATTCCCCAGCGTCTACAAACTAAGCTGTGTCTGCGGCAGTAGTTACATTGGGGAAACTAAACGACATGTCTCGGACCGTGTTCATGAACACAAGGCAGATCTGAAACACGGTTGGACCAATACCTCGGCCGTGGCTGATCATTGCTTTAACGCTGTGGGCTCACATGAAATAGATTTTTCCAAGACGAATGTACTATGCAAACCCACTGGCTATCATCAAAGATTTGTCCATGAAGCCATCCAGATATATAAAAACAGACACAACTTCAACCGAGAAGATGGGTACAAATTGAGCAATCGTTGGAAGGACGTGATTAACCAGGTAAAGTCTTAACCTGCTGTGATGTTTCCATCCTTCCTGCCGATGTTAGCCGACTCTCTGACAGGCTGGATGTCCTACTCGATCTGCCCCTGAAGCAACATTGACATGCTAATCTCTCACAATACAATGGCCACTTCCACAGCCTCAGAGAGACCATCTCTAGCCCCACCCTTTTACCCTGAGGCAACTCCCATTTCAGGCCTATATAAGACTTTGTTTCAGTAGCTTTCTCTCTCTCACCTGAAGACGATTGCCTGTGTTGCGATCGAAACGTCGTGATCTATTATTTTTCTATCTATGTGACTTTACCAAAAGACCTAAAGAGTATAATACAGATACATATTAATTAAATGAGTGTGAGATGGAGAGAGAAGCCAAACCTTTATAAACGTCGGTATTGAACGTGTTTTCCTGATTTAATATAATATATACAATTGCCACATGGATCGTATGTATGAAATGCCAAGATTGATAAACAGATGGTTTTGATAACCACACATGGTTCTGATCTCTCCACCAAGCCGGTTGCTCATCACTCCGTCACAAATCCATGTAACAAGTGTAAGAAATGAAACGTGTCATATTTGTACTTTGAGTACACAGAATCATGTAGTTAACTATTAATCTCATTCCAATGCTGTTGTAAAAATTGTGTTCGTTTCCTAGGTACAGAGTACAGCCATAAATGCGAGAGTTGTGTTAAAAGCAAGTGAAAGGTAAAGGTGCAGCCCTGCAATTGCTTGGTCACTCCACTGCCTCCACCAGAGGGAGCTATAGACGATATTTCGGCCTCCTCTTGCACGCTCGCCAGACTATCATTTGGAAGCGCTGTTATGTACGTTTTTCGCACAGTACATAGCCAACTGTGCTAATCGGAGGTGCGGGGAAAGACAACAAACTAAACACAAAAATAAGTTCTTAAGAAATAAGTTTTCAATCTAGAAAAGAAAACTGCATAGTTTCAGGTGGACGTACCCACACTTTACTCCACCACACGCGATCGGCAGATGGACTGTTGTTTTACACATTTACACTGCTGGGTGCACACCCAGAGGTAGTAGAATTCAATAAAATTGCCTCATTCTTTTAGCTGCCTGACCGGGAGATCAAATGGAACCAGCGACATGTGGATTGCAAGTCCAGTGTGCTGACCATTACACTGTGGTGGTAGCATCCTCGAGTTAAATATGAGCTCAAAGTGAAATTAAAGTGTTAAAATACTCAACATTTATTTGACTTTAGACTCAGTTTATATGATGTGGAAAACATAGAATCCAAGTGGATGCATGTGTGCTGCCTTCAGGCCAGCACTCGGCACTCAGAAGACGGTTATCGAGTTTTACCAGCGGATGGACATTATTCTCTCACTCGGCACTTGCTTTCACCTCCATTCCTGGAGCCCTGTGACGGTGTTTGCTTCACCGTTAAGACCATGCCTGTGACCCGTGGATTGTGAACGCTGCTTTGGTTGAGAGCGGCAGGTGAATGTTTGTTTTCCTCCTCGGCCTGCGATCAACACAGGTAGCGGGGTCACTGGAGCCACGTCCACGTGAACCCGGCAATCCGATCAAGTCCGTGGCCCACGGTGTGCGGTGTCGTTGAGGCCGCAGATTAGCCGATGGAACAGCAGGAATGGATGCCGCGGTGAAACGAATCAGCTGTGGGAATTGAGTGTGCCTGGAAAACCAAATCTTGAACCCTGTTCTTTTGTGGTGACTTGCGCGTTCGTTGCTTGCGCGCTCCTGCTTCGATGGAATATGTGTACGCGCCGGGTTTTATTGGGAGTGCCATTCATCAACGAAGATTTTTTGCAATTTGAGTGGCGGAATGAGTTGCGACAAACGGTACCCAAACCAAATGTGTATGATACATCCTATGCGTGCATTTCAGTTGGATGTTTAAAATCTGGAGCAGAATTGGACATGTGGCTCCATTACCTACAAATCCCTGTTTGGTGGTTTTAATAAGAGAATGTGCCAGTTTACTCAGGAACGCCTCGCTGAGTCTAAATACTTTTTTTTCAGGAGGGTTTAGCCAAGATTTTGCAGGAGGGGATGACGTTACTCTGTGTATTCCTAATTGAGTAATTTGCAGGAATATTTTCAGCATTTGGTGCTTGGCCGACACTAGTTTACATTGATGTGTTTTTAGCTTTAGGAGGAAACTCAAGAACCCAGAGGATACGCATGCAGAACATGGGGAGACCATACCAATCCTCTGCAGAAAGGCGCCTGAGTCAGGAATCGAACCCATGTCCTTGTTGTTGTGAGGTGCAAGCATCACTGACCCACCCTGCCCAAGAAGAGATGCCACTCTTAGCTCGGTGTGGGTTTCATTTCAGACCCTCCTGGTTGCCCAACGGGTTTAGCACGATAATGTGAGCACTTGGACACGTTTATTCACCACACTTGATGAACTGTAATATTTACAGGTATAATTTGATTCATAACTTCTCTAAATCATTATAGATGTTTATGCCTGTGATTGGACGAATGCATCCAGTTTAAGAGTTTATTTTAACGTATTAAGTTCTGCTTTGTTGCATGGTCATTGTACGGATACCACAGGCATGAGACAGAATGATGAGAAACTATAGAAACAAGAACAGAGGAGGCAGAAAATAATTGCTTCTAGAATCATGAAATCACTGCTGGGAGGGAAAGGATGGGGGTGAATCATGGCATGACTGGAGGGGTGATGTCAGGGAAGCTGAGGTGGATATTTTAAAAACTTCCCGATGATAGGACTAGCTAATTGGATGAGGCGGTGCAAGCAGTCGCTTGACAAGAGTCTTCTCTTTTAATGAGCTGCACCAATTTCTATTCGTGTCTAAAATAAGTGTGGGAATGAAGATGGTCTCAATTATTGCACTCGGCTTTACAAAGTAATTTGTGTGGCTTTAAATGATGGGTGCGTTTAATGCGAGCCACCAAACCGGGAGGTAGATCTTTATTTTATGGTGGTAAAATTCGTTTACTTTGAGAAATGGTCATTATAGGCATTTTAATGTTCAAATCAAATTGTTTATCATGAAACCATTGGAATAACGGCAACATATAAAAGTTAAACCAGTGTAATATGGTGCTGGTGATTGACAATGTTAGGAGAGTGGTGGCAGTGGTGGTGATGTGGTGATGATAATGCTGGTGGCTGATCACTGTTACAACGCTGTGGGGGATCACGATATAATTTTCTCCGATACCAAGGTTCTTTGCAAACAACCCACGGGCTTTTATCAGAGATTTGTTCATGAAGCAATTCAGATCTACAAACACAGACACAATTTCAACCGAGAGGATGGTTTCAAATTAAGCAACCATTGGAAAGATGTTCTAAATGGAACTAAACATTAAACTAATTTCAATGGTACAGTATATTTTTCAAGTAGTGGTACCCCAAACTTTCGCAGCTCTTATAAATTCCCCATTTTCACACCATCAATAGGTAAACTCCCCCCTCCCCCCTTCCCCCCCCCGCGCCAAACTGCGAGTCCACCGGCACGTACACCACCTCTTTCCTAAAATCCGCCAATTAAATGCTAATTTTTATGCTAATTTCTTTGTCAGAACACCTTGTTTGCTCGCACACAGGTCCGAAGTCTGAGCGTGGTTGTGTTTCGCTAAATTCTCCTGTTTGATGAGTACTAGGTGCCTCAGTGAATGTATATGCTCTAACTTTAACATAGCTATTTCTGTGACCAGTTACAAGCTAATCACTCAGCTATTTCAATGCTAAATTCGATGCTAATTCCTTTGTCAAGGGGTACCTCTGCGAATGTGTATACTTTAACTTAGCTATTTCAATGAGCCATTTCAATGCTAAATTATATGCTAATTCCTTTGTCAAGGCGCGTGGTCTTTTTCTTCTCACACAGCTTAAAGGTCGTGATCTAAGCGTGGCTTCTTCCACTCCAGCGCTTTCCTCCAGACAGTCTCGTCCCTTCACCTGATGAAGGCCGCTTGTGTTGTGGCCGAAACGTCTTGATTTTTTGTTATTTTATTTTCACCTACGTGACTTTACCCAATAGAACCAAAGAGTAATGCTGGTGATGACATCTTTCCACCTGTTGTTTATCATTATAGGTATCGGAGCTACTGCAAGAGCAGGCCAATCTTAAGCTTGAAATTTTGGAGGCCGAGGGACAGCAGGAGACGCGATGGGAGTGCAGCGGAGACACGGGCAGCCCACGTCCCCACGCGGCCGCGAGGGTCGCACCAGCCGCCACGCGGTGCGGGCCCGGCGCATCGTCCCCCGCGGAGCCCAGCACGGAGCACGCGGCGAATTGCCTCTCGCCAACCTCTGAAGCGGATGCATGGCCGCAATGGGGACGGCACCGCCGGTGCTCGACCGCCGCGAGCGAAGTGCCGACATACCGGCCACACGGGCCGCGAGGCGATGCGGAGCGACACGACGCGGCGTGCCGGGAGAGGAGGCCGGAGTCTCCGGCGAGCCGACGATCATCCGGTGGCTCACGAGATGAGGCGGCCGTGAGTCACGGAGAGCTCCTGTACCTACTAAAGATGGTGAGTGGTCATGCTGGGGACGAGACGGGCAACAATACCATGTTGACACTGGTATGATTGCTCACGTATCCCAGCACTGGTATGTGTGTGCGCGAGTGTGTGGGGAGCGATAGTGTAGCGGTTAACGCGCTGCGTGACGAACCCGGCGACCCGGGTTCGATTCCCGCTCACGGCCACCACCAGTGACAATTTTCTGAACCGGTCCTGGGCTTCCCCTAGGTCGACTCAGCCTCAAATGAGTACCTGGTGCGATGTATAAACGTTGCCACTAGGGAGACAAAAGCGGCCGGGCGTGGTGTTGACCACCCACCCACTCGTGTGCCGTGCCGGCCTTTTCGGTGCTCGCTAACAGCACTTGCCCCTACAGTCTGCTAAGGCTATACGGGGGATCTCTGTCTTTTTTGTGTCCACATAACTTCAAATGGGTCCGGGGCAGTTGACCCAGGAGGAAACCTAGGCAAGTTTCAGGATCTCCACCATCATGATGGTATATGTCGTCCGGTAGGCGTTGATGACACACATAACCTATGTCGACTCCAATTACCGGACTTGACGAACAGAGGGACTGGCGTCGGCTGAGTGGGTGGTCAAGGTCGGGGTCATTTGAATGCGGAGGTTACATAAGGTGACGTTGACACCGTGGAAAAAGACCTCGGCCAATGTCGTCCGGCTCTTTTGCTGCCACTCTCCCTCCTCCCCCTCCCGCTGTCAGGCGTCGTGCGGAGACCGCTGTCGCCCTCGCGCTGCTCCGTGCACGGTCACTCGTGTTTATGCAGGGCGGTGGAATTACTTTGCCGAGCTGTTCATACGTACAGTGTGCATCTGACCTGGGTGCATTCTTGTAAGCTTTCCCGGCACATAAATGTGTGGTTTATTTTGTGGCGTGGCATCTGCCTCGTACGTAATATTAATAATATAACGTACGTAATATTTATAATAGTCCGTGCACTATGCGTGCCTCCTATGCATTTGCACTGCGTGCTCGTTGTGCGTTTGGTGTTTCTGCGGGAAAGTCGCCTTATCGATTTTTTTTGTGTGCGTCGGCATTGCTGCGTGAGCATTATTGTACATCAGAAAATAAGTCTCTCCCGTGAAGTTGTGTTTAATTGAATAGGTTTCACGGGGAAGACGGAGGGGTGGGTGGGAGGGAATGGGGTGATGTCCATCGTGAGGCCGATATTCTCGTACACATTCACCCACTACGTCAAGCTTAAGTGGCTCTTATCGGAGAATGCAGTGAGTTGTCTCGTGACGCCCTGTGCACAATGTCGTGCAGATGAAGGACTCCATGCTGCGAGAGGTGCGCAAGGAGGTGCTGGACAACATGCTCCCTTTCCTCACCGGTGCCGAGTTCTCAGCTTCTCTCCCCGAGGAGCTCGAGTCGTGATGATCATCCCGTACCCTCGCAAAGCTCCTGGGCATGAGTGCTCCTACCTGATCACTACCAGAAGCAGAGCTGCAAGAGGATTAGGACTTCAGCGGGGTGGTTTGTGAACTACTGCGTATGTTTTCACAGCTGTTCTTTATAATTCTCTGCTCCACTTACTGGAAGCTTTAGTTCCTGAAAAATCTCCCACCACATTGAGCAAAACGTCGGACAGCATGCCAAGCAAAACGCGGTATGACCTGAAACACATCGGATATCCATTTCTGCTTGTGTTCTCGTCTGCCCTCCGTCGTGGGTGGCATTGGAAGGAAGGCGATAAACAACACCCTGGCTCTGTGCGCAGGTTTTCCCAATCTTCCACCTGCAAGCAAAGTGCGTGAGAGCGGGGAATGCACATCGCACTGTGAAAAAAAAACACACGGGATCAAGCGAGGCCTTGGTGCGTCTGACAGCTGCTGTCTCTGGGCTGGGGCAGGCACGCATTGCAGTGTGCACGTTGAACAAATACGTCGAGTATCTCGAAGCACATGGGGCAGTCTGGGGAGGGTCTGGATCATACGGGAGTGAGCGGCGATTGCTCTGCGGGTTCGGCCATCGTGGGATTGGAAGAAGCGATAGCATTTTACTGCGCAGCTCTTCGCAGTCCCTTCGCTTTATAGCCCTTCGATGTGTCTCCGTGGTGTTTGGACAACACGGGGTAACAACCCGAATACTCATCGGAGAGCGAAGCATTTGTATGCTCATTTCCTGCAGTGCCCTGCCGGTTTTCAGAATTAAATCCACTCTTCCTGCAAGCAATGTGCCAATATATTTTTAAATGCAATTAATACTTAAATATAATTACTTTTTCCTGAGTGCATCACTCAAAGTGAAAAACTGTTTCTTATTGTGTTTATATATATTGAAACTCGGAACGAATAGCGGTCGTAGAGTTTTTGTTTTTATGCATGTGACGACTCCTCTTGCAACGGAACTAATTATGAATATATCAATCGCATCTCTCCCTTGAAATTGCTGCACATGCTGCTCAGAGTTTACATGAATGCTTGGAATCGCAGCTGATGCAAACACAAAACGTGCAATTATTTGAATAGAATTGTTTTTGTTCGTCTTTTGAATTCTACCTTTTTATGCAAGGTGTGCGTGCACATGGGGTCTGTGAGCACGTCCACGTTACGCGTTAAGTCCGCGTGCAACATATGGAAATCTGAATGTACAGATGTTTATACAATCTTGATTTAAAGCTTTCGTGACTGCAGGAATTCATATTCTTTGGGTCTTTCGGTAAGGCCACGTAGATAGAACAGATAATAATAAAATAACAATATCGTCATCAGGTGAAAAATATAGCGGGAGAGCTGCTGACAATATATATTCTCAGCAGCTCTTCCACTATATTTTTGCGATCGAAACATCGTGATGTCGTTATTAATTTTATTATTTTGGATTATTTGTTCTATCTGCGTGGCTTTACCGAAAGACCCAAAGAATATGTATCAGTCTTGTTGTCACAGAGTTCATAAGGGGATGTATTTTTTTCTTGAATATAGTGGCAGAGATTAAACTATTCAACTTGATTTATTTTACCAGTTAAGCCCACTGAGCTATATAGCTCTTTTTCAGAAGTGGCCTGGCTACAAATGATAACTCAACGAAGTGGCTTATGTGGAAATTTATAACAGCCAAATGCTCTGAACGCATGTTTTTAAATGTAGAGAGAAAGACCGGAGGACCCGACAAAAAATCCACGTGACCACGGGGAGAACATGCAAACTTCAAATATACAGGCGTCAGGGTCGGGATCGAACCCACGACCTTCTATATACCTGGCGAGGTAGTATCTTGCCACCATGGCGCCCATATGATGTATACGATGGCAAATTTTAACTCCAGTGCAATAAATGACACGCGTATTCTTTGGAAATATATGGGCGTTGGAATGCGATAGAGCTGCTATGCACAACGCACACTTAACCGTACATTTTTTCTTCAAAGTGTTTAACATTCCATTTATTTAAGGTTAGTTTAAAATGCCTTGTGCACTTTTTTGCCACCTTCATCTATATGTAAATGCACAATGCACTGTGCTTTTCGCATGTGATTTCTACACCTCCTGGGAGGTGCTGGGTGGCTCTGTGCCAGAGTGAATGCCGGTGTCCGTGTTTTCTGCGTTGAACTCTGAATAATTGCGCTGCGCTGGGAGGTGTGACGCCACTCTCTCCTACGGTTTCGTTTCGAAATCAGAAAATTTGCATCTTTTTTGCAGATGCCGAAAGCCACACATTCCTGCCTTTTATTCCTCGTGTTAATGGGTCTACGACAAACATCGCCATAAACAACACTCATTGACGGTCAGGGCCCACCAAGACACTTAAATATTTAATGAAACGCACATTTCCAAACACTAAATTACACACGCAGGCAGAAAGCAACAGCGTACTTATTCAGTGTATTGCCAAAGATCGACTTATCTAGTATTGAATGTTTTTAAAATTCATACTAAAAATAAATCGATATTTTATGGCGTGGAAGGTTTTTGTGCACGCATTTTTTTTTGCAAGTTGATTCGTAAAAACAACAACAAAGGAGTTTGCATACAAAACAAGTAGGGAGGACAAGGGTAAGGCCGGGTGTTTAGATCGCCACTCTGCGTGCGGTCACGCGCCGTGGCGTCGTCGGCGAGGGCTGCAATCCACGCGACGCTGTGGCACAGTGAGCAGCACACGTAATTATTCATTCACGTGTATTTGTGAAGCTTGCGTTGACGTGTATTGTAATCAAAAATGTGTTGCATGCTATTCCTCCTTTTCAAAATTCACTCGTGTCATAATTGTAACGAGTGTGATCGAGACGGGATCCGTATTCTGACCACAACAGACACGCAGTGCGAGGATAATCGCAGTATCCTGCGTAGCTCACGTCTCGCGTTTTGTTGTAATCGAGTAAGAAACCATAGCTGCATATTGATTTGCATATCTCTTTACCACAAGTAAAAATAGAAAGAATTAGGTCTTGCCCTCACTAACACACTCGGGCTGTGCACTTTTAAATCTAGATTGAAAACAAATTTCTTTAGAGCTGCTTTTTGTGTTTAGTTTGTCCTTCCCCCACACCTTCTGTCTCGGCCTCGCTGTGCGCAGCGTTGCACCACTATCCCGAGTAGATAACCTCACATTCAATAAACCTTCAGAGCCAGGGTGATCAGACTCCAAACGTATTTAATTAATTGAACGAGGTAAAACTGATGGAAACACAGCACAAATACAGCATCTGTTGATATCAATACAATGAATGAACACTACAGCATCATAACATTGTCTTAGATAACATTAAACTCAACAATAGATCCTGGATGGACCAGGCACCTACATTAGTACTGAATAGCTATACAAGAGAGTAAGCTACTGTGTTAAGGGCACATCGTGTAATCACCATACTGCAGCCCAAATGTACAGCACCACACATAACACTGAACTGTGGATATTTCGTCATCTTTGCTCTCAAGATCGCAATAAGGTTACATGGGTACGAGTCTGACTCGACTTATTCAATTACAAGTAACATTCACAATAAGGTAAGTGGCAGGCTTCGTTGTTAACTAGGCCTCATATTTATCATAACAATTTAACGGTATTATAAAGGCATTTACAGCATTATAACGGCATTCCCAGTATTATAAGAACATAAACGAACTTACAGACAATGCTTCTTAAAGTCCCACAATGAACAGATGCACCTGCCTTCAACTGAGACGTTATTTGTGCCTCCATTTTGTACTGTGTAATGGCTGACACCCTGCCGCGTGGCTGAGAGGAAATCTTAATATAGAATTGAAGCTTTCGTGACTGCATAAATTACTATACTCATTGTTTTTTTGGTAAAGTCACGATGGTAATCGCTTGTGTTGCGTTCGAAACGTCGTGATTTATTATTTAAATATAATTTTCTATATACGTGACTTTACCGAAAAAAAACAATGAGTATAGGGAATCTTAAATCGTAACTTCCTGGTCAATTGACCAAACTCAGCATCAAAACAAGAAATTTCTGTGTACACACCCCCAAACCTGCCTTGAGGCAGAACACCTTTGATTAGCACGGTTGGCTACGTATGGTGCGAGAAAAGTTCAACATACAACAGGAAATATTCCATGAGATCTATGTGGAATATTACCGGGCTGGTAATTACGTTGTAAAAATTGGTGTCTAACTCAATACTTTAGTGTGGATACTGCTCAGCGTGTGATTCAGTCATACTGTATAAGAAAATCGACAAGGTAAGCTGTGGGTTGGTTGTGTAGTGTCAACGATTCAGAGACAGAGTTTCTAGGAGGCACTTTCTTTATTAACAACTTTCACGGTCTCGTCCGCACACTCTCCACAGTAACTCAGCCTAGCCTGTACATTACAATAGCTGTCTAACACTGACGGCGCCGATTGAGATAGCCAACCATATCCTTCGTAGCGCAATATCTAGCGGAGACGTTTAGCAATGACAGCGACGACGAGACGACAACAACGAGACGAGTCCATTCCCAGAACCGGCAGCCCTGAGCCCCCGCTCTCGGCTCCTTTTAGTCTACCAGTGTGGCCTGGCTCTGCCCTGACCGCGCCTCCCTTCTCGAACCTCCCAGCAGGTTCCAGGGGCCTCCAGACGGGGTCCCCCGTGACCCTTGCCCTAGTTCCTGCCTAAACCCCGTGCACGTCCTCACTGGCATGTGCACTGTCTGTCCACCACAGTTGCCGCTGCTGTCCACCAGCCGGCGCTATTACACTACAGTTGTATAGAAGGGCGAAGGGTAAACAAGTTCTTCAAAGTATTTACAGACTAGGTAGCAAGATTTAGCACCTCATGTGTCCGAGTCTGGTACTGCGAATAATAATGATACGATTATAATTGTATCCAAGCCCCTTGTTTACCCAAAAAAGCAACGACGGGTCTAGAAACTTACAGCAAGCTCCTGCATGTGGAAGTTTGATCAATTCCACTAAGATGCTGGTGGTGGAAACTGTGGACCCAAACAATAACACACATTCAAGAAACCATCTCTGTACATATTGCCATCTCCTAGCCACCTTGCAACCCAGACCTACGCCAACCCATCTGTTATTCCTTGACAGTGTCCAATTTGATTAACAACCTGGCTCAACCCTCCTTAGTTTACGAGATATCATTAGATCCAGGTACATTTAGGTTGATTTGGACATCGGCCAAATGTGCAATTCCTATGTGGCTAAGTATTTTGTTATATCAACCCACGGTTTTGTCTTTCCTAACGAGCAGTATACAACTTGTTGCCTTTGTATACTGTACTCTTGCCCTGCCTCATATTAAAATCAAGAATTCGCCTTTTGTCAATCCACTGATTGATGAAGGTCTGCCCCACGCTATATTTACCATTTTGGAATGACCAAATTCTCCACGCTGGTCAGTGTGGCTTGGTAAAGGTTGTAGTCTAGTGCCAGTTTAGATATCACTCGCCATTCATGTTTGCTATGGCTGGGAATTGAATTCAGGTCCCTAGGTTTCATAGCGCAGGGCATTAACCACTATGCCACACCGTTGTTAGGATTAATTTGCTACATTTATTCATTTACGTGGAATAATTATGCCGTGAACATTTCACGTGTGAGTTGAACAATCCAGATTTACCAGTCTTGTGTTGCAGATAGTCATGAGGCTATAAATGCAATTAATGTTATCGGCAATGTTCCTCCTTCAGAATATGAATAACGTAACTAGTGAATTGGATATCCATTTTTTGGGAATATCCATTGCTTAACTAAACTTGTGTCATAAATAATGAAAATTTGTGTTTGCAAATAATAGTGCACAATTATCAATTTGGTTTTGTGCTCGTGCAGGAAATTACAAATATAACCACGGGCATCCGCAGATTGTTTTTAGTAACATTGTTTTAAATGCCTCCGTATTCCTGTGACCTCGAAAGTGTGTTACTGCATAGACATGAAAACATGTGCCATTTAATTTGTGTTTTACGGTCGTTTCAAGGGTAACGTGTAAAGCATGCCAGGAAATGTTTTATAGTCCTTCTGAAGATAACTTCAATAGCCTTGCTCTCCATGAAGATCAAATGCACATTTTCTTAGTTTCGACAAATGCGGATGGAGCGGTGGTGCAGTGGTTGGCAAAATTGTAAAGAAATATATAGCCACGGCGATGAAGAAAAATAGAAAGAGATAAAGCAAAACAAATATTACAATGCGATTTGACTTTGGATTGACTGGTTGTTTAAATTAACTAGCTAATTAAGCATTTGCAGGAAGTGATATAAGACGAGGTAAGCAGCTTGCTTGTTCTCCTTGCAAAACCTGTGCAGGATTTAAACGAGATAGGGTCCTTCAGAGATTAAACTGGGCCGGATGGGCATTGGGGTTAGAGGGGTGTAGGTCACCAGTTCAGAAGCATAAACCTTTAGGCACTGAGTGACGACAACAGCATCCTGTTGGCCAGAGGGGGAGAACCCAACATTCACTTTGACCCCTGACTCATCCACCCTAACTTGGCCAGTGCGGCAAGACGGTTCACGCAGTCGCCACCAGTAATTACATTTCAGGCTGCCCTTTGCACCTTGGCTTGTGTCTGCCTGAGATATCACGTCGCTTTTAAAAGGGTAGAAACTGCGGTGCGTGGTCTGGCCAAATCGGCGGCATGAGTCATTAAACCGCCCAATTAATTGCCCCTTTTTAATGGAGTCTTTTCTGTTCGTGGGATCGTTTGGTTCGCCGAGGCCTGTTGTGCCAGCGTGCGTGTGCACATTTGCTGAGCTTGCGTTCCTTGAGTGGAGGGGAATTATGCTTTGCATTTGTGAACGAGTGCACTAAGAAACAAGCACGATGCCGTTTTTCTGCATTGTCAGTGTTCATGCTCCGTTTGATTGTCAGCAGAGCAAAGTGGGATTATGTGCTCGCGCTGATGAGGGTGACTGAAGATAATGCTGCATTGGGTGGGGAGAGATCCACTGATGACATGTGTATTAATCATGCGTTATGTCAGTTGTTTTCTCTTTGGTCACAATGCAGCCTCCAGCTTGCTTGCATGACAATTAAAACTATAAACAGAAATGATCATCATCGGCCATGATCAATCCACTGCTGGATGAAAGCCTCTTCAAGCTGCTGCAACCTACCACGGTCCTGTAATGCACCTAGCTGTCACCTGAAGAGGATCTGATTTTCACGTACAATTACATTTGTTTCAAATATCTTTCCGTGGTTTAAGTTCAAAATCAGAAGTTCAAGATAACTATTTTAATTGTGCAAATTCAAATGTAATTATCCAGCAAACATGCAAATCGTCTTGGCTTTCAGCATGCGGCATTTGAAAAAAACAATCGCGATTTCTTAAAAAAAAAACCTTGCGTTTGATGGCCCAGCGTGTACTGTTACAGAACGATGTTTTATTCTTTGCAGAGGGAGAGGAGGAAGAGGAGACAAACCTTTAATTATTGATTGTACGGCGTTCTCCCTCCACGGGCATGCGGTGCATGGGATGTGGCGTGCACACGTCCTCCTCATCCTCCTGCCCTACGTCATCACACACATCCAGACGAAACCATAACGGTGGCCCCTGAATGCATAATTTAATAAGTGGCAGTAACAAAAATAAATATAAAAGACAAGCCCCCACCCCCCCCCTCTCATGACGGAGATGAGCGTGTGTGTGTGCGGGTAGGAGGAGGGAACGGGAGGGAATCTCGGCCGGGGTTTGAGAGGGAAGAGTGGGTAAGGTGGTCAGGACCCACCCCCTCTTATTTTACTCTGCCTTTCGCGCACCGCTTTGCGCGCCCTGCATTGAAGGGGCTGAGCGGAGGCGGCGTGAGACCCGGGAGAGCTGTGAAGGCTTCGGCCACCGCTGGGAATTGGCTGCTGCTGCTGCATGCGATGTTCTGTCACAACGGGCGGGCATCGCCACCGGCACCTCTGCAAGGGAGCGGCTTATGAGAACGACTCTAATTCCTGCAGCTGCTGCTTGAATCAACCCGTCCCCTCTGCCAAGAGAGGTAGCCATCCTCATTTGGTTATTGTTGGTGTTGTTTGTAGACGCGAACGAACGCAACTCGCGCTACGTAGGAGACGGGTAGCGAATTATGCCGTCTTGTGTGCGGTTCCTAAAATGGCTCGACTGCAAATGTTGGTTCATGTTCTGCGGCCCCATTGTGAGTGGGGCCGCAGATGGATGTATGCACATACACGCGCGTGCGTGAGTGCGCTCTGAGATCCTTGTAAAATTTTAAAAGATTCGTGTTTTATATAACGCAGGTTTACCTCTGATAATCCAAATACAGATTAAAACCTCAAAAAACGTAATCTCGGTAAAATCACGGAGTGCGTAAGCCCACAGCTGCTTGTCGCGTTGGCTCTCTCCCGCTTCCGTGAGTATTGCACATACTTTCATATTTTCACCTGCGCTTTTGTAATTGACGATTAAATTATAGTTGATCAGTTTTTATGTATTTTAGGTCATACATATCATCAATGTGGTGTTTATAGTAATGTGACGAGTTTATGTAAAAAAATATTGGAAAAGACTGACGTTTATTTTGCTCTTAACTAATGAGCTTAAGGGCGTCATTTTGTTTGCGATATATTTTTAGAACGTAGTTTTGTTTCTATTTCACAACCACGTTGAGCGTGGACGACTTCCCGCAGCGACCGCGTCTGTCACCTCGATGCCCTCGGAATATCCACAACGTGTCACATGTTATAGAACAACACAACTTGACTGTGAACATTGGGCGCCGAGGCTTTCTCCATGGGCAGCCAACCCGTAACGGTGATTTACTGGGAAGGAGATATCTCATTGCCAAGGGCTTAATTGATGCTTAGGCTTGCTTACATTAGACATTATGTATGTACGTTTAACTTCTTTCGCACCATACGTCGACATAAGGCACTACCACGAGAGTACAAGGTACACTTATCCGAAACCAAAAAGTTGAATGAAAATTTAATGCGGCGCTCATGTCCTGAGCCAGTGGTGGAAATGTATCTTTCCTATGGCAGGGGCCAGTATATTATCACTGTCCAAGTTAACCCTCAACCAGGATTAAACTGACAACATTACGTTTGTGAGTGGGCAGCAGAGCCACATGGCTATGACAATAATCATATACAGTATTGTACGCTCTATTCCTATACGAACAGGCTATTAAACTTAGATGCATGGATTAACTATTATTGTCAATAGATTGATTACAAAAGAAGGCGAGATGGATGTGGCATGCCAAAATAATTCTCCGAACAGCGTTCCGGGCTTTTCCGGCTAAAAAGCTCTGCACGTTGCCAGAGATCGCACTGCAAGGCAACACTGCCAAGGTCTCGGAGCAGTTTTGTGGCCTCGTTCAAATAACGACAAGGAGTTATGCCACTGGAGCACCCACGTGGCCTTCTGCATTTACCGTTGAACTTGGAATAGTTAATAATTAATTATTCCATTAACTCTGTTCCAGCCGACGTCTAAACATGTTGGACTGTAAGAAAGAGAATGTTTAAATGTCGTCGGCCAGTGCAGTCAACATTAATTATTTAAGACTAGCCTTTTGCCGGTCCAAAGACGGGTGCATTGCAGGAAATCTGAAACTTGCAAGCGAAAAGCAGGCCGCGACGTGATATTCATTGCATCAATTCGTGTGCAATTTGTAAGGGCGCGGTGACGGACCTATTTCATTTAAAGATTATAATCCCTTGTTCATCAAGACGTCCTTTTTACTTCGATGTCTCAATAGCGTTACGGAGATCACGTGACGTGAGGGTTCTGCCTTTGAAGTGAGGGTTGTAAGTTGATGCTGAGGAGGGGGGAGGAGGCGTCTCGGCCCCCCATGTGGAGTGACGTCACCTTGTGATGATTATTAATGAGGGGGGCTGTTCGATGTGGTGTGACGTCACCTGCTTATGATTATTAATGAGGGGGGGAGGGTGCTCCATGTGGAATGACGTCACCTGCTCATGATTATTAATGAGGGGGCTGTTCGATGTGTGTGACGTCACTTGCGCATGATTATTAATGAGAGGGGGAGTACTCCATATTGAGTGACGTCACCCGCTCATGATTATTAATTATGGGTGGGGGGGGGGTGTCCATTTGAGGACGTCACCTGCTCATGAATATTAATGAGGGGGTTGGTCAATGTGGAGTGACGTCACGAGCGTTAAGGACATACTTTCCTGGGTGATTATAGTCGGTATTCGACGGATTTTTTTAAGGTGGACAGAGGTGGGAATGGGGGTGGGGGGATTTCAGAAACGTTTCCGTTATTTCAACTGCCGTGCCGGGAGATCGTCGAACTGGTGAACTCCGGACTGCAAGTTGAGTGTGCTACCCACTCCAGCACAAGCTGGGTGGGAGGAGCAGAGCGCCTTGACAAAGGAGTTTACATATCAACAGAAGAATTTAGCAGGGTGTTAAAGTCGGAAATTAGCATGTAACTGGGAGATTAGCATGATGTTAATGTTAGGGATTAGCATGTAACTGGTCACGGAAGTAACTATGTTAAAGTCAGAGTTTACATATCAACAGAGGCATTTAGTATATTGACGCTAAAGATCTGCAACTACCCGACTATCATACATAGAGCTACATTAATATAATTTTACAATTACGATACTATATATTGCCTTATGAATTATGTTAAACATTACACTTATACTATTTATTATACAACATGCTATAAACCATGCCATTGACTGTCGTGTGAAAGGACGGTCAATGGTATGGTTTATAGCATGTTGTATAATTGTATAGTGAATATACAGCAGTGTGGTATACAGTAGGGTTGGTAGAATAATACATAGTGTAATATTACAAGTCTAATATTTTATAGTCTAAAGTATAGGGTAGTGTATAGTAACGCATTGCATTATTCAAGGTTGGGGTTTGTCTATGGCAGTGCATATTACGGTGTATAGTCGTGTAATGTAGAAAAAAGTTTAGTTGGAGACATATCAATATAATGCATAATGTTATAGCTTACATTGGGCTGTGTATACGATATTATACAATGTAGTTTAGATTGGAAGGTACAACATTGTAATGTATTGTAGTCTAGTTTATAACATAGTTGTAACGCAACACAGGACAGAGCAGCGCATCGTGGCTGTTTCTCCCCCCTCCTCCGTTCCGAGCATAGATGGACTCGTCCATCTGAACAAAGCTCATCGCTTTCCGTGGTGCTAACGTTGAAAAGAAAAAAAACACCCGCCTTTTTTTCGACAGAATTGTAATGTATAATGTCTTATCGTTAGTAGCTCAGCTGATTGGAGAGTATATTGAGTTTATTGAAAACATTGATGTAGTTTATATTTTAGGTTTTTTTATCAGTTTACTATATGGTATTCATTATATAGTGTAGTGTAATCCCCGTTACTTTATGTTAATAGCTCAACTTATTGAAGAATATATTGAGTACATTTATTATATTGATGTAGTTTATACTTAGTTCTTTCACATCGGCTTATTGTATGATAGTTGGGTAGTTGCAGTTCTTTAGCGTCAATATACTAAAAGTCTCTGTTGATATGTAAACTCTGACTTTAACATAGCTACTTCCGTGACCAGTTACATGCTAATCCCTCACATTAACATCATGCTAATCTCCCAGTTGCATGCTAATTTCTGACTTTAACACCCTGCAAATCCAACACTTTAACACAGCTATTTCAATGCTAAATTCTTCTGTTGATATGTAAACTCATTTGTCAAGACGCTCTGCTGCTCCCACCCAGCTTAAAAGACGCTGCGAAGCTTAGCAGTGTTCATTGAAGCGCTGTCGTCCCGACAGTTCTGTTCCTTCACCTGAAGAAGGCTACTTGTGTTGTGGCCAAAACGTCGTGAGAATTTAGTTTTATTGTTTTATTTTTATTATTTTATTTCCATTCCACGTAACTTTACCGAAAGAACCAAGAAGTTAACGTCTTTTGCCATCTATTCAGAACCCTTTTAACAACACCTATTTTTAAATAAGCTAACCCAAGCTGGCAGTTTAATGGGTCGTTTTTGACCAAAAGCAAACTGAACCTTGCCTTCCGCTGACAACGGAGCTGTGTTCTGGGGTTGCATTTGAGAGATGGAGAGTCGAGGGACTTAGCGTTGGGATCCGTGATGCATGATAATTGTCGTAGACATGCAGGAGCAGCAGAGGGCTCCTCTGCCCTAGTTGTGAACGCCAGCCCAGCAAGGGGTTTGTCGGAGAGCCGGGGGCACTACCTGCACATTGCACATCTTGCCTCAAGATGTAGGATGTGCAGAATCTCTTTCTGGCAAACTGCGCTGGGAAAAAGCCATTCTGCCTCTGTCATTGCTGTGGGGAATTAAACCCCTAGCGTGCCACGGACTAAAGTGTGTGTGTGTGTGAGCCTGTGACACCCCCCCCATCTCCCGTAAATGAAGCGGCTTAGCAGGAGGATCAGGGTCCCTCAGAGGCATGCATAGTTGCTTGCTACGTGCGCGTCAGGGTATAACATAGAATTCAGTTGACTAAATCACGATAACTGCTGCTCCTATGATTTACTGCATATATGGAAGACCTTGCATCGCGGTTCTGAATTTTCTAATTTATTTGCGTAGTTAAAATTTTATTATAAATCGGTTAATTTAAAATAAATGTTACTCAGAATTGAATTTAATGCATAGCTTTGTGTGTTTCTGTTTTAATGTATGCCGCATAATCTGAGAAAATCTAAACATTGCATGCAATAACAATTACGTAAAATATGAATTTATTTTCACTGAGAACCTATTACGCCTACATTTCTACTTGCATTACGCCACTGGCTTGCCAAAGGTTCAGCCATTTACTTAAAAAACGAAGTAAATAGATAACTCAATACAATAAGCCTTCAGCACTATGGGGGCAAGTGCTGCAAGCAATTCCACTCATTTCCCGGAACCCGCGTGGCATAACGAAGCTGTTGGCCAATAACACCGCGACCCCGAGCCCGGCTCACGAAGCCTCAACAACTCGCCTCGTGTATTAGAGGACACGTCCCGTCATTTTGTCATCTCCTGCTGGATGCGGGCATCCCCAATGAGTTATTGGACTGTGCTTGGCGCTGATTTTCGTTGTGGATTTACAAAGATTAGGAGCATGGACTGTAGGAACGTAGAAGTACAGCACAACAATGTATTTTGCTGCACTGCACTCTGCTGCCAATAACAACCTCGTGCATGAAGATCACATACCCAAGCACTATGCAGGCCCAGCCCTGCTTAGCTACTGCAATCTGACAAGATTGGACGTATACCGGGCGATTTTAGTCGTAGGTTTATTTTTAATGTGGAAGACAAATATGAGAGACATTAATTCTCAAGTGGAATTCATATCGCCAACGACTTAAATTAGATTATTTAGGTGGAAATCCTTCTCTGAGCATAGCATTGGTATTCTGGGAATGTTGTCTAGATTACTGTAATATAGGAATTATAAACTTGACATTATTCCCCTGCTGAAATGTTATGCTTTAAACAACGTCAATAAAGGTTTCACATTCACTATTGTGTATCTGGTGGATGGAGCCCTTTTGCTTGTGGCTATAGATCAACTTAAGGTCGTTCTGCCTTGTTTTGTTTGCTCCCATTCACCTTTTTTCAGCTACTGCCGATTTGCCCATTGTTCAGTTGCGAGAGCGATGACTGATCCCAGCGCCACCATGGATGGCAAATCGATAGACGCCGACGGTGTAGAGAATGATCCGAAGAGCCCCAAGAAGATTCAGTTTGAAATGCCTTCGTTCCAGACGTACCTGGATCCCGCCTCGAGCGAACAGGTATGAAAACCACGAACACGCGCGCGTGTTAAGACAGTTTCTAAAGATCAGTTGAGGTCGTAGACAGTGGTGTCATTTGATCTCAGCACACCTTGTGTTTTTGGAGTTGTCAAATTTCTTCATGTCCCGGCTGTCTGCGGTCATCGCTATTTACTTCCAATTAGGGATTGCAGACGAAGAGCCACGGTGCTTAATTGGCCAGATCTAAACGTGCTACCCCCCCCCCGTGCTGTTGTATAACTAGACACCGTGTCTGTGCTTGTAACTTGGCATCATGCAGCGCTCATGCCGCATCTCTGTCGCTCTGAGTCAGTGGTCACAGCACCAATCGGCACAGACTCCTGTCCGATGAGCCACACACAAGCCCACGCTTGACTTTAGACCCTGGGGAGCCTACAAGGATGAGTCAAGTATAAATGGACACTCCTTATTTTGTTCACTTGTGGGCTCCTGTCATGCCCCCTTAATCCAATCTTCAGCGGGATGCAACTCGCAAAGCCCTCTCAAGGGCAGATGTGCGCACATCTGCCTTTGAGAGTGTGCCAATGCGCGTTGGCAAATTTACGGGATGTAAGAATGTCACTGTGAAGGTCGAACAAAAATGTGAATTCCTGCACTAATTCCTGCGCACACAGTAATTCAACTTTTGACTTCGGGAGCCGAGTGGCTGTTGGATGTGAATCTGCTGAAGCAGTGCATCCGCACACTGCCGCTCTCCCTAATGGACAGGAAGATAACATTAAGACGTAAAATTACAATCCAGTGACTTCAACTGTAATTGTTACCATTGCTGTCCACTCCGCATGACCTAATTCTAACTGTCCCAAGGTAACGAGTCATCATTGCAACATATGACATCTATTTAACAAACAGCAATGTAGTAATAATATCTTGCCGGCACAACTGATATACTGCATAGGGGTCAATATAACGACACATTCAACGTGTTTATGTCCTCTATTTCACAGAAGATTGCATGAACCAAGAAACTGTAATTATGCTGTGAAAAAAATGCAACCCCCATCTACCGTGCAATGATCCACAGGATAATTCGCCCATCTCTGTCAGCACATTTTGTTAGTGTCAAAGAAAGTTGGTGAAAGATGCTGTGAATTGAAGGGGCGACAGAGATTGAGCATGCACCAACCTTGTTGAAGCAAGAGTCTCTACCTGGGCTGGCAAGGAATTGAGGTCGAGTTTAGCAAGGGGTTAAAAATGGAGCGTGTGTTCCAGATCATCTTGCTTTGCAGCCACTAAAAGGACAACTATTTTTAGAATCCATAAAATATACAGTAGTGTATATTTAAAAAAATCCTCCGCGGACGCATCTCGAATGTTGTCTGTGCTCTAAAAATGTAGCCAAATAGCCTAGCGCGATGTTCTATGTTCTAATCAATATTTTTTTTCAATCCTAGATCAGACGCCGCAGACCCACGCCAGCCTCTCTCATTCTTCTGAGTGATCAGTCATCCCCAGGTAACGTGAAGGGAGAGGACACACATATACACGCATAGGCGATGTGTTGAACATTACAATAATTAGTTGTATGTATTATGCACCACAGTAAAAATACATAATTCGTCATAATGTTTCAACAGGCAACTTCTGCCTTTTAAATAAGAAATTGGAAACAACTGTAATTGTTCCGCGTTGGCATGGCTGATTTCACGAAGAGACATTTGCTGTCAATGAGGCCTGTTGGTGGAGGGTTACGACACATTTATAAATAACGCGATCTAACCCAAAAACCTTTATTATGAAGAAAATACATTCTTAGGCCTGGCTAGGAAAGATCTCAGTAAAACCCAGGGGCACTGCGCCATTGCATTCCAGCGATACATTTACACATCAGCAGTTTTTTTCCACACGTATCTTCAATACTCACAAATAGTTGATTGTACATTTTCTATCAGTGAATATTTTTTGTTGCAAATGTTTCATTGCGACAGAATATATTTGTGCATGTTGAATTTGGATGAATTTCCCAGACTTTCGTGACACGTTATTCTCTAGCAGCTCTAAACTACGTACGGTATCAATTTAGACTTAAAACTTTCGTGACTGCAGGAATTCATATTCTTGGTTCTTTAGGTAAAGTCACGTAAATAGAAAACAACAATTTAAATTAAAAGGAAAGGCCCACGACGTTTCGATCGCAGCACAAGCGGTCTTCTTCACGTTACTTTGACTCAACCAAGCTCCAAGTTATTTTTTAGTGAACCTTTGAGTGGCAGGTTTTGGTATTGAGTACCGTGAAAGCCCGATGTCGTGTTTGATGTCAACATTAACGTTCCTCTTATTTTGCACGCAGAGGAGGAACAAACATCGTGTGTGGTGAGTACCTCAACGTGTCGGCCAAACAATTCGCTTCTCATAACCAGGGGAGCCATCGGGCACAGCCTTCACTTTAACGTTGTCCTGGTTTCAAATCTGTAAATAATGAGAAAACCCATCACAACAGAAACATTACTGCGGGCTGGAAAGAAATAGGTTTAGCTAAACACAAAGGAGTGCATTGCAATTATCTAGACCACCAGCTCAAAATAACTGAATGTGGCGATTTTGTCATTTATTTTATTTGTTACACGGGGGGATGATTCCATTGAGCCAGTTGCCTGGTGCGTGAGCACAGCAACAACAAAATTAAGACAAAAACATTTAGACCACAAAGTCAAAGAGTTGGGATGGCCACATTTTCTCAGCTATTTGAGTTGTTAAATGCCCGATAACTTACACTGCAAGCCACAGCCTGTACATTATTCCCAGTGTCAGAGTCATCCAATTAGCGACAACAGCACGAGAAAAGTTACACATTGACCATGCTGATATTTTAAGTTTATTGTGGGGAGAAAAAAAAATCCCCAGCTTGCTAATTATATTTCAGTAATTCTGTTTTGTAATTAATTAATCTTATTTTGAGAATTATGGGGAGCTGCCGTGATTCACAGCAATCGCACTCGTACATGCGGTGTTTCTGGGACAGATCCACGATAAGTGAAGGACGCCAAATGACTGCTTCAAATAAATCAATATGTCGTTAGCTTACCATTAGTGCACACGGCCCCACAAGCAAAACTCACATTTCATAAGTCTGAGATTTCCCTTCGGAAGAAACCAGTTGTTGTTTAAATAGGGATGACTGAGTGTCAGCTCCACCTCTTCACCCCCCACCAACCGCCATGTGCTTGTCACCTTTGTGTTTGCTCCAGACCACTCCAGCCGAGGCTTAACGAGGGCTCTGTGACACATCATCTCTGCGACACATAATCTCTGCCTTCTCTGCATGTTAATCAATATCTATAGAAATGCACACTCGCACTTTGTTTGCCTCATTAATGTCAAATTTTATGCTTGTCTGTTGCATTCTGAATGAATAATGGAATAATTAACTCCGGTCCGTTTGTTCGTTATTCGGATTAACGTTTTTAACCTGCTGGCTATCATATGTGCACCTAGTGTTGATCTGCGAATGCCATTCGTCATGATCAAAGGGTCATCTGCCAATGTCACTGGCCATGTGAAGAGTCATCGTAAAGATTCCTGCAACATCGGGATTATGCTTGAAGATCCTGAAGACTGACCTCTCACAACAAAAACAATCACAATTTATATAACGTCTCAAAACGCTTTAAATGATGGATATCAGGGATGAAGCTTAAATGCATAGAGGGTGAGAGCAGGCACACATGGGAGAGGGAAGAGACAGCTAGACCATGGCACATCAAAGACAAATATCCCCCATTTAGCCTGAATATACTTATGGGCAAGTGCTGTTAGCGAGCACTTATGAAGGTCGGTAAAATCTACGAGGGGGTTAGTGGCCTTTGTCTTCTCAGGAGATGTTTATACAGCACACCAGGTACTCATTTAAGGCTGAGTGGGAATTAATCTTGGGTTCGTAGCATAGCGCTCCCCATCATTCACATGCACACAACAAAGTCAAACACATGCACAGACATAGACATGCACTGATACCAACCTTCATCTTTCACATACTCATACACACCCACCCATCCCCGGAGGCTCTGAAGATCCATTCTCCTCCTGTATACAGATAAAGGCTATGACATTGTCTCACCTGCCACTGTAATCAGACCTTGACGGTCAGAGACTGCCATGGTGGATGTGGCTACTATTGATGAGGACCACGCATGAGGGACCTGTGGTCGGTTTACATAACATATCCTCTATTGCTTAATAAAACTCGTTACAAATATATGTTCATGCCTGTGAATAATGTTTATCATCATTATTATTTTCAGCACGCACAACTGTGTAGTGTTATTTGTCTTTATCAGACAGGCATTAATTATTTGGCGCAAACTTCACAACCAAGACCGCTAAGTGTCTTCAACCCACCTACAAGGAAAGGTAAATACTAAGAAGAGAAAGTTATTTAATAAGGAATTATTCACTTAAGGAATAGCTTAAAAATGAAATTTGACATACATCACTGTGTTCCTCCTTGAAAGATGTTGACCTTTGGTCTCTGGTGTCTGTTAAAGGTCACTTAATGAATGTTTAGCCAATTCAGTAGTATTTGTTAACCCTATGCATGTAGACTCACAGTTCTTATCGTTTGGGTCATGAACTTTAATTCTCCCTTTTTTAAGATATGCTCACACAGTTACAGATTTTTTTCTGTTGCAGTTAGCACGTTTTAAATTGCTTGCAGATGCAATAAACCCCACGTGGATTTTGACTTTGTAATCAAACAGATGATGACCCAAATGTTGTTAAGAGCTGACATTATTTACAGTGACGTTGAGTGATTAGGCCGAGCGTGGTCACTTTGCGATATTCTTGTGGGCCTGGCCCAACCACCAAGAGGCAGCCAAAAAGCATGCAGGGCCACCCAGAAAGGGGGGGGGCACTTCACCCTTGGCCTCACACAAAGTAGGGCCCCACAACAGGGCTGTGGATAGTGGAATAAGGGGCCCTACATGGCCTACTGGCCCGGTCCCCCATGAACCTCTGGGTGGCCCTGCAAGCATGTGTATTTTTGGTGTCCACAGCCCACATGGGCGGACCACCCTCAATATACATAATGAACAATAGGGTTTGGCCAAGAAACAATAGTTAAATTACAGGGACGTGACTGAACAATGGAGAAAGAGTGACTGCACTGTCGATTGATGCAAAGTGAGTAGAGTTTCCACCGGTCCTGGTTTTCCCAAGATGTCCTTTTTTTGAGGCAGCTGACCTGGGGAATTTGTAAGTCTTTCCAGGCCTTTAAGAGTGCCGCTTTTGTCAATTATGTATCAATGCACCGTTTACAATGATGCATGTACATGTAGCTCTCCCCTCTTTTGGTACTGTGATATATTCTTATTCCCATGAGATGTCTCCGTTTTTTTTTACCTCAGAAGTGGCAACCCAAAGAGCGAGGAACAATGCAAATGAGGGGGAGTGGGGGTTTTGGTGGGAGTCTGGGACTAGTTCAGGCTCTGAGGCACACAACTCTGCATGCCTTTCCCCTTAAAGATGCTGAATTCACAAAGAGTAAATATCAAATTAACAAACACGTCAATACGTATGTAGTGACATATACTGTCACTATACTGTAGCACCGGGAACCTCCCTAGGAGGCTGAGGGACACGTGACTGGGGGCCGGAAGCCCCTGCCTTGATACAGCAGGGGGCGTGGCCGAGGGGCCGTGGTGAAGCCAGGGCCAAGGATATATAAAGGGGGAGTCCCGACAAGGATCGGGGCTCGCTTTGTGGGGATCGTCCTGGAACTCTTCGCTCTTCGTTCGTCATTTGGACCTTAGCCGGGAATCGTGGGTCAGACAGTGTGTGTGCTGGCTGGCCCGTTTGCTAGGGTTAACTCATACGCACATAGCGACAGTATAGCTACACCTAACTAGAGAACCATAGTGTTATCGTAGGTTGTGTAATAAACGTGTTGCCTCCCAGTTAGTGTGTGCGCCTCAGTGTATCACACACTACACTGGTGTCAGAAGTAGCCAAATAGTTGTTAGTTAGTTGAAATGTTGACTCGTAGACAGTTACTCGCCAAGTCGTCTTCGGACGAAGAGGAGGAAGGTGGGGTGATCCCGCAAATGGCCCCAGGTGCTGCAGCCCCGGTGATGGAGCGAGGGGAAGCCCTGACGCCAGCACAGCAGTGGGACCCAGAGCTCGTTTCGCCGCTACCACCAGGGAGGGAACGCCGCTCCAGGAAGGAATGTCTGAGCGACCTAGCCACCGTCGCAGCTCTGGCTGCTGCTCTGCAGCAGGAGGATGACAGCGAAGCACCGACGCCGCGCCCGCAGACCTTCGTTGCTGCTTCCCGTGCGCGGGAAACTGCTGGGACGCACACTGCGTAGGAAAATGGAGAAGCGTGTGCCGCGCGGGAGCCCGACAAATTTTTGAGCGCACGGGACACGGCTCCCGACAAACCCGACCTCCCGCGAGCTAAAGAAAAGGCTCCCCTTCATCCGGGAGTTCGCGGCGGCGGGCGGCGACTGGGAAGCGTTTCACCGCCGCCTGCAGGTTCGCGGAGTGGACGGAGGAGGAGGCGCTGCGGGCACTCCCTACGGCGCTCGACGACGACGCGCTGGCGGCGTTCGATGCCATTCCTGACATCGACAAGGCGACGCTGTCTGCAGCGCTCGCACAGATGGGGGCGATTTTCGCACCTCCATCCAAATGCCATAAGTTTGCTACGCGTGGGCGTGGGCGAGGGGAGGCCAAGATGCCCATTGCCTATCGCATAGCACTCCTGGCTTTGGCGAAGTCGGCGTTTCCAGGGATGGACCAGGTGGGGCGGGATTCCTTAATCCTGGAGAAGATACTCTTTGGTTCTATTCGGTAAAGTCACGTAGGTAAAAATAAATAACAAAAATCACGACGTTTCGGCTACAACACAAGTGGCCTTCATCAGGTGAAGGGACCGGACTGTCCAGAGGACAGCGTTGGAGTGAAGCCAGCCAAGCCCAGGTCACGTCCTTTAAGCTGTGTGGGAGGAAACAAAAAATAGAAGATGTTGCTGCTAGCCCAGGAGCTCCAGGTCGTCCTGCCAGCCATGGAGGATGATGACCTGTCGTCCCTCAAGGTCGCACGGTGCCTCAAGGCCTATTTAACAAGGCCCGATCTTCTGTTTCAAGCGCGGGCTGCCAGGACACATCTCTGTGGTATGCCGCACTCATCAAGGAGGACCCTCCACATCGACTCCGTCTACGGATCATCGCCCTTTCTCTCCACTGTGTCCCCAGGCGAGTCGCGGCGCACCGCACACAAAGCCCTCTGTTTCAACCTCACCCATCGGTTTCGGAGTCGCGTGTCGCGGATTTTCGTGGGGGTTTTTCGCGTGCCGATCGGGTCTCGGTGGGCGAGGGATGGCCGTGGCGTCCCACTCAATTGATGGCCCTGGTGCGCCGTATTGTTGCTGCGGCGGTGGGATCGTCCGCTGTTATCGGGACCGTCGAGGGGGTAGAAGTGCGGATCCTTGTCGATACAGATAAGTTGGCGACAATAATTTCGGAGATGATTTTTTATTGTTTGTCGCCAAAATCGCGCACCGTTTCACACGTTTCCATTCCCTGTTTTGCCGCCAGTGGTCAGTCATTAGGGATTATTGGACAGATCTCGGCTACAATTTGCATAGGCGACATTCGATTGACGGGGCCGATCCTTGTTTCCAAATCCCTTGCTGTACCCTGCCTGCTAGGGACGGATCTTCGAGGCAAAATGCCGCTTAAGATCCTTGTGGATCAGGGCTGCATCGAATTACCCTCGGGCCGCCGAATGGCATTTTTATGATCGCCCACTCTATTCCGCATGACAAACATATCAGTCCTAGCGATGGCCAACTGAATTGTTCATATTCCCCCAGGCGCGCAGATGCTCATTCCGTTACGGCTGAAAAAAGAGCTCGATTGTGATTTGACCATCGATGGGATGTTGTTAGCCCCCTCTTCCAAGGCGGTTCTTGGCCAAGATTTGGTATATGCGCATATGTTGGTGGCAAGCGATCAACAACCGTTCATCCAGGTCTTGAATGTCGGTTCGGAAACGTCCATAATACAAGAAGGTTCCGTGCTGGCTCATGCATCGTCCACGTGTTGTCAGGGGGAAACCAAAGGGACCTTGGGTGTTGCTGCGTCTGTGAGGCAGGGTGAGATTTCGGGCCAGGGTGAGGACTGTGAGTTGTGGTTGGACGCGCTCTGCGCCAAAAGCAATGACTTATCGATGGCACAGAGGCTTCAGGTACATGCTATTTTGAAGAAAATTTCCAACGCTTTTAGCAAAAATAATTAAAATATTGGCTGCATGCCTCTGCTACACCACTACATCGATACGGGAGATACCACCCCCATTCATCAAAACCCATATCGGTTAAGTCCCAAGGAGAAGGACCATGTAAGCCACGTGGTTGACGAGATGTTGGCCGCCGACATCATCTCTCTGTCCAACAGCCCGTGGGGGTGCCCATTGTGCTTGTTAAAAAGCAGGACGGCAGCTTGAGGTTTTGCGTGGATTTCCACCAACTCAACAAAGTCTCCGTGGCTGATGCGTTCCAACTCCCACGGATGGACGACTCGTTGGATGCCCTGTCGCGAGCGTGGTTCTTCTCCACACTCGATTTGCTGTTGGTGTTTTGGCAGTTGCCTTTGGATGACAGCTCTAGACCAAAAACTGCTTTCCGCACACCCCAAGGGCTTTTTGAGTTTAACCGGCTTCTGATGCGACTTCACGCAGCCCTGGCCATGTTCCAACGGCTAATAGAACTGGTATCGGCAGGCCTACAATGGGACGCGTGCTTGATTTACCTCGACGACGTCATTGTCTTCGGACACGTTCGAGGAGCAACACGGGTATTGGCACTGTTTTATCACAGGTTGTGGACGGTGTGGAGCGTGTGGTTGCATACGGGAGTAGTGTGTTGTCTCCGGCGGAACAGCGCTGCTGCGTTACGCACCGAGAGTTGCTGGCGATAGTCTATTTCGTCCAGCAGTACCGCCCGTACCTCTATGGACGGAAGTTTTAGGTGCGCTCGGATCATGCGGCTCTGCAGTACGCGCTTCGCGTCGAACAGTCATCGAGCCAGCTGTCCCATTGGCTTGAGGTCCTTCAGGACTACACGTTCGTAGTTTCCTATAGAATGGGCACTCGCCACATAAATTTTGACGCTCTGTCGCGATTGCCATCCAGTGACCAGTGCGCATGCATTTCGGGTGCGGGATGCTGCAAGCCTGCTTATACAGTACCGCCCCGCACTGTAGTGGACGTTGCACGCACAGATGCGGCTGACATGCGAGACCACACGCTCGGTCTCACAAACACCGAGTGGGGGCAACTTCAGCCAGAGGATGCCTCCTTATTAAATAGGCGCCGTGTTAGGGACTCCGAGGATGGACGGAATCGACGAG